AACAAAGAAGAACAAGTTAGAAGGGCGCCGGAGTGTTTTCCGGCGTATCCCCTCCGACGATCTAGTCAGTCTGAGAGAGAGAGAGAGGAAGAAGAAAATACTGAGTGTGTATTGTAGTAAAGAGTTTTTTGTTGCATACCCGTCTTGCCTTTTGCAAGGAGTATTTATACCTCAAAAGCTCATGATTGTTGTCAGTGTAGTCAGTAGGTGATCATTAGGTACAGGCAGTGTGCGCACTGATTCTGATGAGGAATGTCTTCTCTTCTTAACTGCTCGGGGTCCCGAGCAATCAATGTTGGGTCATCGGGATGCCGACGGTACAATGTACTCCTCTCGGGGAGGATGCAATAAATGATCTGTATTAGGAGCATTTATTGCCTTTCATTTCCGAGCCTTACCGCATTGAATGCGGTCTCATCAAGGGAATGGTGTAATTAATCGTTTGCTTTCCCAAGTCGCGTGTCAGCAACGGCATGCGGTTTCTCTGTCTTCGATGTGATATCATACGCCACGCGTCCATCCCCCATTGGTTGTGGCCCTTGCATTCCAGTACGTTCTGACACTAATTGTGTAAGACGAGTTCATGATGAATAGCCTAGACTAGCCTATGCTAATGACCTGTACGTCAATAGCTTATCCTCGAGTAGAGGAGGCGTCCAGGACGGGTACACCTCGGCACCGAGGAAAGGCTCATCTCGGAACCGAGGGAGGGATACCGACCGAGGTACCATATCAGACCGAGGCTACGTGTTGGTTGTAAAACGTACTGAATGCCATGATCCTATATGACGAGTACCTCGGGGGCGAGGACCTTTATGCGCCAATGGTGCTTGATCTTAGCAACAGTGTTTTGGTAAATACCGAGGACACGTATCTTCATCATGGAGCATTTCAGAAAAGTCCCATCAAATATTATTATTATTGATCGTATCTCAATCTCAACCGTGTTATATCACAATCAGTGGTCAAAAATATTCAAACAATTTTCTATTAAAAAAATCATCCAAACGATGGCTGATTATTGCAAAAAACACTAGCATTATTGGCCGTGTCTTAATCTCAAATGTGCTATAGCTACATTCAACATTTAGCTCTGTTTATAGGAAAATTAAAAAATAAAATTGTAAATGGGCTCTTTAAATGCATTTTTATTCACCATATTTTTGTTCCATTAAATTCCTTATCACTTGCAGGCCCTCATTAAGTTAAGTCAATTATATGGATAGGGACCAATCACAATTCAAACAAACAAAAATAATACAATTAAAAAATGGAAAAAACATAGTCTGGTGACTCTGGTTAAATAGCCAATGGGGCCTAAATAGACAACCCACTTAAAACGATAAGAGCCCATGTTGAGCATTTGAACCCGATTCATCCCAAACCGGACCCTGACCAGTCTCGGGCGACGAATTAGCCGGCGTTGGACTTGGCGGACTGTCACTCGATGGGAACATCTCTGGTGCCTCTGACGGTGTATCAGCAGTTTCCTGAACCTCCGCCGCTGTCGGTGATGTCTCAGGAATTAATGCTGATGAAGATGAAGCCGGAGTGCTGACAGAGCTCATGGTGTACAGTTATGGATGGCCCTTATGGCTAGTTGGTTGGGCTAACTTTGAATTCAAATTGTAACCCAAAGGGTTAGTCTAGTGGTTCAAAGGTCACTTGGTAAGTACCTTAACTTGGTGCTGGTCAAGGGTTCGAAACTTATTAGGTACAAACACTCCTTTGGGCCACTGGTCTTAGATTTATCCCCTATGCGTGGAAAGTCAGTTTTGCGTGTGGGTCCAGTATTAGTCCGGCCCCAAGGGTTAGGATAGCTGTAATTCCAAAAAAAAAAAAACTTTGAATTCAAATTACCAAAAATTTATATTTAAAAAGTTTATGAAATTAATATGGATGATTGAATGTGTGAATCTCATAAAAAAAAATTTATGTGATTGATTGATCCAACTATCTTCATTCATTTAATAAACTTTTTGGTAAGTAATTTTTGACAAACATTGCACTAGTCACTTACCAATTTTGTAAAAACAAAACTAAAAAATTTTACCCATGATATATCTTTATTAAATAAAAAATAAATGAATAATATCAAAAAGTGATATTTTAGATACCGTAACGCTCCAACTTGATTTTTTTTTTTAATTCAATAGTCAGAGGTGTTCTGATTAACGTATGCGCACGTCGATTAATTCTCTTTTTAATGCAGTTAAAGAGAGATTATCACGTTAAAATTAAAATATTTATAAAAAATAAATTATTTATTGCCCGCCTCTAACGGATGCCCAACTTGATTAACACTGCTGATGATCAATCATTCCCCCCACCCAAAAAGGAAAGGAGGGAGAACATGAATACGATCCCAGAATTCAAGGTGTAATTTCTTCCCACGTTATGATGGTGTCGCCAATATTTCCTTCTCAGTTGACCTTTTACACTTTTTTAGTTTTTTTTTCTGTACTAAGAGCCTGTTGGGCTTGACTGGGCAATAATGCACTTTTCATAGTGGATTGGTCAACTTGGCGAATACACATAAAACTTCGAATGCAAGCATGATGTGACCAGAACTAAACAATTTTGCTTCTCCCAATTCTAATGGGTATCATAATCTCCAAAAAAAGGAGAAAAAGAAATGTCTTTTTATCATCAATCTTGAGTCCACCATTTTTTTTATTTTCCGAAAAGTCTTTAGATTTATGTGTATTTCAATTAAAGGAAAATTTTAACTATACCCCCTATAAGTTATCATATCTTCAATGACACTCCCTCCAATTTCTGAATCTTCAATGACACTCCTTGTCAAATTAAAAATATTAAGTAGAATACAATTTTATTAAATTGCCCACGATATATTTGAGGACAAACTTCATCCACACTCTCTCTAGATAAACATATCTTCGATGAGACCCCCTCTAGATAAATATATTTTCAATGAGATCCCCTCTGTTTTCTAATTTTTTTTACGTAATTAAATTCAAATTGATTAAAATTCGATTCAAGCTAATTAAAATTTATTTTTTTACATATTAAAATTTGTGCCAATTAAAAATTATATTTTGTTTACGTATTAGAATTTGGGCTAATTAAAATTTTGTTTGAGTCAATTAAAAATTATTTTTAATCGACTCAAATCAAATTTTAATTAATTCGCATTGAATTTTAATCAGACTAAATTTTAATATATAAAAATATATGAATTTTAATTGACTTAAATTTTATAAATCTAATTTTAATTGACAAAAATTTTAATAAGAAAAAAATATAAATTATAATCAACTCGAAAGAGAATTTTAATCGGCCCTAACAACTCGGATAGAGTTCAAATCATCTCAAATTTTAATATATAAAAAAAAAAATTTAATAGGCTCGATTTTTTTTTTAAAATTTACTAATTAGTATATAAAAAATTAGTATTTACTAACAAATTATTTGCTAAAATTGTTATTTGTGATTTTTTAAAAAAATTTAACAGCTCGAATTTTAATAAAATTTTATGTAGAAAAATTACTTGAGGTTATGTAGGAGCATTTTTGGTATTTTAGATGAATTTATTTTGTTAGAAATAATAGTTTAATGGTATGGGTGTTAGTAATATTTAAATTAAACTAGAAAATGTGTCATTGAAGATTCAAAAATTAGTAGGGGTGTCCTTAAATATATGATAAACCGGAGGGAGTGTCATTGAAATTTTCCCTTCAATTAATTATTTCTTTAAGTCAGTCACAGATAGATTATTTATGTCGAGATTAAGATATTCTTTAAAATAAATTTTTTTTTCCTAACATGACCCTAGAGAATTATCCAAATACAAATTTGTAACATCTAAATTTGTAACTCCGCTGATCCAACTAACCACTTGACTTTGCCTTTTCTCCGATAAGAAACATGAACATCAAGGAGTCTCTTACACCATATCCACTAGCCAATGTCTGAACTTGATTTCATTGAACGAGGACAAGTTACATTTCGGTGGGTACAAGGACGGCTCAACAGTAAAGTCAAAAAAAGACTTTAAGTCTCGCATATAAAAAAAGTTTAAGTTTTAGAGTTCGATAAAAAAAAAATAGATTAAAAATTAAAATTTTTTATAATTAACTTAACAAAAAAACTCTTGAGAGAGTACGTTAAAAAAATAAAATTTAAAATTTACGTCCAAAAGTACAATCCACTTCACACATACACATTCATTAAAAAACAAAAAAGGATTAACACTTCGATAAAAAAATATAATAAATATCTCTCTCTTTCAAAAAAATATCATTTATTAAACTTATTTTGTTTTTATTTAAAAACAAAAATATTAACTAATTAAATTGTTCGTTCTCATAAAGAATCCATAATAAAAACTAATTAATATAAAAAAAATTCAATAATATTTAATGTATATTAGATGCCTAAATTACTAAGAAAGAAAAATTATGTGACAACACATTGTAATATTTAACATCTTTATTATCAGAGTATCTTATAATGATGAATGAAAAAATACATAAAATATAAAATAACACATATTACTTTTAATTATTACGAGTCATCTAATAATTAATTTGTCTCACTTAATCGGTTCTATGGACGAAGATTTGATAACAAGGGACGAGCAATGACTATAATTGTTGTAAGATGCACAAATACTTTAATGACACTGAAGGTCCGGACCTAGAGTCCGACCATTAAAATAATCGCCTAGAACCTAAAAAATTTAGAGATCTAATTTAATTTTTAAACCTTTTGTTTAACTTCAAGTTCTGAAGCCCTTTTGAAAGAATCAAGTTAAAGGTTAAATATATTTCACAAGTCCATCTAAGGTCTTATAGAAAATCCTAAAATGTAACAATACTTTTACAAGTTTATATAAATCTTTATAGAAAATCTTAAAATATAACAAAATCTTCTAAAAAAATCTAAAATTAATGACTTCTAGCTTTAAAAGTAACAATCTTTCTCAAATTATTTTCATTAATTTTTCCTTTACTTTCACTGCTTCATTCCAACTCTCTCTATCTTCTAATCTCATTGTCTTGCTCTGGTTTATTGTCCTATTTTTAACTATCTTGTTATTTCTTTAAGACTTTATTCAATTTATTCATATGTAAGATTTTGACTTCACATTTACACCCAATTTATTGTTTGATCTTGCCCAATCCCAAAATCACTAAAACTTTAAAAATAAATTATACCGTAAATCTCTATAAATATTTTATCACTTTAGGCCTCAATTTGTGTTAGACCACCGTTGGATGAATTTGTAGAATTCAAGGTCAATACTATTGACCTTACTGTAAAAACATTAACTCTTTATTTTTTAGATAGAAATCAAAGACGTTTCATTGATTAGAAACATTGTAAAAAATAAAAATATAATGATATTAGGTGCATTTATATTTTTTATCACACGGATTCGAACCGTGTAACTCATGGTGCTGAAATGGAGACCCATAGGTATTTTTGTATACTACATCAATTTGTATACAAAATAAATATTTGTCACAACTCTATTAGTTATTGGATGAATATTTGATTAGTAATAACTGCTTAAAATTCTACCAAATTGAACTTAATAGCAGGAAAAGTACTTATGTGTCTACAGTTCATTTGCACTTTTATAATCTTATTAAAACAAAAACTAAAAAAAAAAAAGAATTCCTCAAAAAAAAAATCTAAAGAAAATAGTTGGGGTTTTATGATCTGTGAGAGGAATCCACGTAAGCCGTGATGAAATTAATTTTAAGTGGTTCATTTCTCTTGAAAAGACCAGTTATAATCGACCACGTGCCAGATGCGACATGGACGGTTTAGATCACTCCATCAGAACCAATCGAAAGGCCAGAAACTTGTCATTCGTTATCTCATAGACAACCGTCCAAATACGTCCACGACTCCCACAACGATCTGCGTTTTTATAGCATTTGATCCAACGGACCTCACACATTCACTCTCCAACAAAACTTCTCCTCTTTGTCTCCTCCCCAAGTCCGTTCTTCCCGGCAACAGAAAAATCGCCGGAAACATAATCTCCGTCACTCTCAAAGCTTGTCATTTTTGTAAATCCGTGGAAAAAGAATTATATTCTTTTGACTCTAAGCTCTGTGTATAGTCGGACCTGATGAAATGTATTTTTCTCACCAAATTTGAACAGTTGAATTGATTTGCCCGTGTTCCAAACTCCAACATCTTCCAATTTCGTGTTTTCGGTCTATTTCCTACAAAATCGGAGCTATTTGCGAAAGTCAATTTCCAGAAAAACTCACTCTCCCATCACAACCTTGAATTTCGCTATATTGTCTATAAATACTTCAATTCTGAGCTCTGTTCACGTCATAAAACCCTAGAAATCAATGGCGGATTCAGATAACGAGTCCGGAGGCCACAAAAATGACAACGCTGGTAGCGAGCTTTCTCCAAGAGAGCAAGACCGTTTGCTGCCAATCGCAAACGTGAGCCGAATCATGAAGAAAGCATTGCCAGCGAACGCGAAGATCTCGAAGGATGCAAAAGAGACCGTACAAGAGTGCGTCTCGGAGTTCATCAGCTTCATCACCGGGGAGGCCTCCGATAAATGTCAAAGAGAGAAGCGAAAGACCATCAACGGCGACGATTTGCTGTGGGCCATGACGACGTTAGGGTTCGAAGAGTACGTGGAGCCTTTGAAGATTTATTTGCAGAGGTTTAGGGATTTGGAGGGTGAGAAAATGGCGATGGCTGGTCGGCCGGAGAAGGATGGAGGTGGAGGAGGAGGTGCAGGTGCAAGTGGTGGAGGGAATGCCATTGCTGTGAATATAGCAAATAGTGGGGGTGGATTTGGTGAGACTGGCATGTATGGTGGGATGGCGTCGAATATGATGATGATGGGGCATCCTCATCATCAAGGACACGTTTACGGATCTACGGGATATACCCATATGTCTGTTAATGGACCTGGGAAGAGTGGGTCGGGTTATCCTGGATCCGGGTCTCCTACTACTGGGAGACCAAGGTAAGCTTTTAATATTCAAGTGGAGGTGGCGGCCGTGGGAACCTTATCTTATACGTCTGATTTTTATTGGGCACTCTTGGTGGGTGCTCTCATTAGTAGTTCTTTTTGGCCTTTTTGGTGTTTGGATAATAGTATAGTTATTGCTTAAGAGGTAGGTTTTGAGTTCAAAAAAAGAAAAAGAAAAAGAGAGTGGAGTTAGATTGTGAATATTTTTATTCTATGGGTGGTTAAACGTGCTTGATTGTAATTGGGAGTGAAATTAATAATAGCAAAATGGAGTATGCAATCAACGTTGACTAGTGACATATGTATATGATATAAATAATAATGTTATCATGATAATGCTGATGGGGTCCCGTGATACACGCGAAATTTATAACTACTCCCTTTTCCCACATTGACCATTGCAAGACTTATTTTGAATCGTCGGTAATTTTCTCTAATCAAGGGTCCGGGCATGAGTGACGTTTTTGACCTTTTGCAAGACTTATTTTAGTATTTATCTCAATCTTTACTTGATATAGTCGATGGATGGTTTGTTGGTCTCCTAAATCTGTTCAGCCAATGCAAACATGCAATCTCAAACAAACTAGTGAATGCTGCTAACAAGCTGCCACTTCTACTCGGAGATTATTAGATTGTGGGCATCAATGAAAGATAATGCTGTACCCTTGTGCATAAGCAATGGAGACCAGTGGGGTCGAAACTTTACTACACTCGACTACGAGAGCCACAGCTTATCCTTTGCTGATTTGCCGAAAAGTTAGCATCTTTTGGTTGTTTGATTCCTTAATTATGGGTTGGTAGGTTCACTAAAAAGAAAATGACCCTTTATTCCTGGTGTGTAGATGTTGCCCTAAAATATCTGTTTTTGAGCATCTGAAGCCATCAAACAACTTTACTGTCTGACCTCTGAAGGAGTACCAAAATGACACTGCTATGATGTTCCACAATTTTCATAGACCAAATGACCACTATTTTGCAGTAAAGTGGTCAAACCATGCAGAGAATCACCAAAACAAAATATGCTAAAGGAAAAAAAAAACACGAGACTCCCACCACCGCACGCTTGTGCCTAACTGACTACCGTAGTTTGATTTGAATTTGAGCATGTCCCTTTAAGAGATGAAAGTGGCTAGCCATTAGGGAATTGTTAAATAACTATTTACTCCAAAAATTTAAGTTGTTAGAGAGTGTTTATACTTCAACACTCCCCCTCACTTGCAGACTAGATTTTGGGCATTGCACGTAAAAAACTTTTTAATAATTAAGGTGACGGCGAGATTTGAATATAGAATTTTCTGCTCAGATATTATGTTAAATTGTTGGAGAGAGTGTATCCTATATAGATTTTTACTTTAACATAAAAAGAATTGAACATGACACATTTGGGTTACTAAAGGTCAGACCCAACCAATCCAATGGACTATGTCACGGCTAGAGGTTGTTTCAGTCTAGAAGGCCTAAAGTGGACAGGTCAAAAATTTCCATACAAATTTATCTTTGGGTACAGGACAAGCTGCAATTTTGCAGCATAGCTTAAGCACTTCTAACTCAAATGTTTCCTACAGATCCGGGTTTACTTGGAGACATACAAAACACTTCACAATAGCACAGCAAAAATATAAACATATGAGCAAAGAAGAGCTTCTGAAGAAATTGATTAGACAATAGCTTATGGCTCCACCCTTCCCATATAGTCCCCCACCGTTTAGGCCTCCACATCTTGGCCAGAAGGCTGTTGTCCTATCATCTTCCTCATCATCTGCCTCACCAGCTAGTTTGGTAATTTATTTCGTTCTGGATCATAAGCTTTATCGATGACTTTTTTGAATGTAAGATCAGTATTATTAAAACGCTTGGCTGAAGGAACACTTGGTTCTATCATGCACAAATAAAGAAAATTAAGATGAGAAAATCTACATGCAATGCTTAAATTCTATCATCTCAAATGAGAACCTACTATGAACACCTGCTTATATAGCATTTCTTAGCGGGTTTTCAGCATAGTTTCTAGTAGTCCTCCTTAACTAACATTATAATTGACATATACATCGTTAATGGGGTAAAAAACGTTTACTAGAAAGGATTACTTTGACCAGCAGATGACTAAACATACATGTTGCTGAACTCATAATTTTATGATCTTTTAACACTTGATGGAGCCATTTGAAATGTCAATCTCAATCAATGTTTCTTCCTCATTCACCTCATTGAGGTCTGGTAATAAATCCATTAGGCCTCGTTGCTCAAAAATGGATTCTGGCAACCAAGTTGGCACATTTCTGTTTCCCTGTTGCTTCAGCTCTTCTGTCAAGGTTACAGTCTGGTTTGGAAAGGCAATTTCAATCAAGTTCTCGTCATCATCATCAGAGATTGATCCATTAGAGGTAATGCCACTCTGATCGACAGTTTTCCAAGAAGTCCCATTAACCTCATGATCTTCACTTGTTATCCAGTCATTTTTGCTCTCACTATTGGATTGGAGCCCCACTGATCCTACATTGTAGGCAGCTTCAATCTGTTTGATACCTTCTTTTTTGGTTGTCCTCTTCTTTGCAAATGCGAAGAGGATAAGAGTAGATAAAACCAAAACTGAAGAAGAAAGAATCAAATGAAAGCCATGGGAACTTAAAGACCATGTAAAAAGTAGAGATGAAACAATGAGTGCAAAGCATAGCAATGATCTCCAGAGCCAACTTGGTGAACAAATGTAATTTTCAACTGTCCTTACCATTTTCAGAGATGGATCAATCAGACTTAAAGCTTACAAATCTCAATTGTAAGAGAAATTAAGATGAGTTTATGGTGAATGAAACAGATTCCTATGAGACTTTTCAAGAACTTTGCTATGAAAATTATTACATTTTCTCTCTTTTATGCTGTTGATCTAATAGAATAATATAGTATTGTGTTCTTCAAAAACAATTGCATATCTTATCCTCACTTGATTCTCTTGGAAAAAAACAAAATTCTGTGTTTTCTTACATCTGATTACAGGTTCCAAGCATTTGGAATTGCAGGATCGATGATGTGCACGGTTGTGAGCTCACCACCTGGCACTTCCCCCCACCCACATAGAACCCATCAAAACAAAACCATTCCCCAAATTTATGGCTGTGTCTATACGCTAGAAGCATCAAATCTTCCACACCCATCAAAAAAGAAACCTGCATACTTAAAAGGGCTGCCTCAAATTTCTCGAGATAAAAATATTTGGTTACTTTTTGTTTTTTTAATATATAATATCTAGACTTGCATCTACTACTATTTAATTACATTTTTTTTTATTACCAGGTATTTAGTCTTATGTTGACTATTCACTCGAAGTCAGTGGTTGGTTAGCTGGTATAGAACATGTTACGAAAAGGATAAAGATGACTAACCTTGAAGAAATTTGAAAAAGGATTAAACTTGAAATCATCGAATTATCGAAGAACAAATTCAACCACTGAACCACCCTAATAGTTTAGTATTTGATTACTTGGTTTGCTTTATGCTACAGCAAATTAATGACTGAAAATTCCAGTTTTTTTTAACCAACTTTGAGATTTTATCAAATGAACTTGAAATATGACTTTGGCCCATTGTTTCTCATGCCATACTTTCCAAGTATTAATGGATAATGGAAGCCAATTCCTCTCTGAGAAATGTTTTGACTGGTTATGGCAGATGTTCATTACTTCTTTGTTCTCGCACGCAAAAAGAGATTGCAAGATGGGGGCAAGTACCATGCATAGTCTACACATTTTGTCAGCGTTCTTGGTGTTTTTAATCTATTTAAGTTGGCATATTAGAATTTGTCTAATTCATATTCAGTTAGTTTATAATTATATTTATGTTGTGTCCAGATATTTATTTTTATGACGAATCTATTCATTTATCATTTAAATTTATTAATGCCAAAATGCAATTTATTAACTATCAAAGGTGTCTAAAATTATTATTTTTTTAATAAAAAAAAGGGCCCTTTTAAAGCTTTGTGCACTAGTGCCCTTATTCCAGTTCCTTAGCGGTCCTAATGCAAAAGGAATAACTTTATATCAAGCCCCACTTAGGCCCAAGTACCGATTTGCACCAATCCTCCGGCCTTAAGAGCAAAGAGACTTTTTTAATTTTAAATAATAATAAAAACGAATTGTAAATTTAAATATTTTGAGTTTAAATTTTAATAATTTTTTGTGATCAGATAAAAGTTTATCTTTAACACGTGTTAGACCGAATCAAAAGAGAAAATTAATTTATATAAGTATAAACCGGTCTAGTCAGGAGGAAAAAAAAAATCTACAAAAACTGATTAGTCAGGGGTAATCTAGTCATTTCACTTGGCAACGGGTCAACTGTAGAGTGGCCACGTTAATGTTCGGTGCTAGCAGAGACTATAGAAAGAACATTCTAGGGTTAGGGTTTTCCTCTGCGAATCGTTCTATTTCTATTATGTCCTATTTTGGAGTCGTTTTGGGGTAATAGGCTTAGATATATTTTTATAGACTTTTGATTCGATTTTTCATAGTCGAGTCGGTTTTTGTCGGTGGTGTGGAGAACTGGTCCTCCGAGTTGTCTGTGGCAAAACACCAAATCCATGATCATCTGCGTCCCATGGAACCGTCTTCAGTGCAGATCACTCCTTCCGTTGAAGAAGATGAGTGGGGTAAGTACTCATCCAAACCCTGCTTGATTTCTTATAAAGCCAAGTCAAAGTTGTGGATTTTTTTGTAATCTTTTATGTTGTTTGTTGTGATTTTGATAAGTTGAATAACATTGAACCGATGGCTATTCCTTTAAATTTTGATTGTGTTTTCTATGACTCTTGTTAAAGAAGAATCTCGAGTTTAGTCATTTTATGATTAAAGCAAGGTTACTGTTAACTTGTTCCTAAGCATCTTGGTGTTTGTGAATCTCAACGTTGTAGGAGAATGAATTGTAGTGGTTAAAATAAATTTCTGGAAGCTCTCAATTCCACTTGGAAATAGAAAGATTGGATTTTTGGTGGTTACTTAATTACAACCAATTATAGTGGATTAAGCATGTGATTGTCATAACATCTGACAATTGGTATATTGGTGATAGTAGTATACGACGATTGCTGAATTTTTGGTATGGCTTTTGATTTTGTTTTAGACACTGATGGATTCGTGATTCCAAGCTTGGGAATAGGAGACTCTGATCAAAATAAAGTTGATGCCTTTGAAGTAGAAGATTCAAAATCTACTTCGCTGAAGGTGAGCTGCACTAGTTTTGTTTTTTTCTTCTTTTTTTGGTGGTAAACATGAATGTTGTTTCAATATTTTTTAGGATGTATGAGAAAACTTGGTAGCTTGTGCCCCCTTTTCTCTACTTACATAAGTTTTTTTTTTGTCAATACACCTGTTAGGCTGGAAAAGAAGAGAACATATACCTGGGACCCCACGGAGCTCCTCCTTCACAATCGAAACAACAAGAGCTTAATTCTTCTGGCCGTAAGCAGAAATTCAAGCAGAAACTGAAGGAAGCAGATCGGAGATATAGTGGAACTGGACGGGAGAACAAGGTAGAGAATCTGAGGGAGCTCGTTGGTTCTGGAAAAATGTCTGCCAACAAGTCAAAGAGTTCCGCCAAGGATTGGCTAGACCCACATTGCCACGAATCTCAGTTTGAGAGGCGACATCTTTAGTAGATGTGATTTCATCTTAATAGCTTTGCAAAGTTCTGGGAAGGCATTCATCTGATCGCAGGCCCCCCTATCCATCTCTCTGTCCGTGAGGGACGAGACTTCTAGTCAAGGTTGTGTATCTTCAGTAAAATCTTCCTGTTGGAAGACTTTTTATCAAAGTTATGTATTTTGACAATAATCTTCCTGTTGGACATATGGGGAATAATGCATATGTTTTGTTCAATAATTTTATCTTTGCTTTTCCCAAGCTCTTGTTTTGCAGTGAAAAGCTGGGTGTTTGGTTGCTTAAAAGTTTAGTTCAAATTAACTTCCTTACTCGCCATGGGGCTTTGATTGTAACAGAGATTTTGCAACCTAGCATGAACCAATATCAGCATGGCATGTAGTTCCAGGATTAAGCTTCTGTTAGTACTCATATTCCAAGTCGAAATTCATCCCAAAAATGCATTACAAAACCCATGACTCAACCATCAAAGACAAATGAATTCAGACTTTCAGAAACTCAAATTTCTGATTATGACAAAGTACCGACAACAATCTCTCCCTACAAAATTGTACTTGATATGAACACAAATGCCCTGCTCCTACCAAATGGGATGCATATAATTCTGCTGTGTTGATATCACCATGATCACTCATGTGAATTGAAAAGCCGTCTAGCATATACTAACCTCAAATCTGAATTGATGCCAGGCAGGCAATGTAGCAACATCTAGAAGCCTGAAAAATTGCAAAATGAGAAAGTTCTGACGGCATTACATATCAGAACCTCCTAATGGGACCAAATTTTAGCCGAGACCAAGGAATTCTAATCCGGTTGCTGTGGGTGTCAAGCCATGCTGCGACAGGTACTGAGCGTTGTAAAATTTACTCAGATGCCTCATCCCATTGTCACAAAGAATTGTTACAATGGTGTGACCAGGGCCAACTGTTTGTGCCACTCTGACGGCTCCAACACAGTTCATTGCTGAAGAACTCCCGACAAAGAGCCCGTCATTCTTCAAAAGAATCCTGATTAAAAAAAAACAGTACCATTAAGATTGTGAGGCTGAAAAAGTTTGTATTAATTTTCTTGGCTCCACATCATTACCAAGATTAGTGAAAGTAAAATCGTACTTTCACCAATAAAATGATCAATTGTTGGTGTTGGTGATTATGGATAGAAGAACCCTCACAAAGGCTCACATACAAAAAAATTCAAAGTTTCATGTCTTGTTGGTGGATTATATATTTGAAGGGGTGAAAAAGGTACTAACTGGCGTTGTACAACAATTGCCTTGTAGTTAACACCTCATTTGCCAGGACATAAGCTTTCCACAACACAAGGCGCCATGAGAATTAGGGAAAGGGTAGCAGTTGCACTTACCTAGACATTTCGACAGCCTCCATATCAGTGCCTCGAAAAGCCCCATCAAGTTCTGCCATTATAAAGTTCTCTGTTAATCTATTAATACCAATTCCTTCGGTTATAGTATCAAATGGATTTTTCAACCTCCGTCCTTCAGCCTCCTCTCTTGTGTACATCACCCCCCGTGTTACCTTGTTGAACAGACCAGAACCAGGGGGATCAATAAGAAAGCACTTGATGTTTGAATTCTTTTCCTGTTGAAAATGTCCAAAGAAATTAATACCATACTAGCACAACCAAATCAAACAAATATTTAGAAGACGAGGGAACAAAGTCTTAACCTTCAGAAACTTTGAAACACCAGCCAAGGTGCCTCCGGTGCCTGCAGCTGCAACAAAAGCATGCAACTTGCCACCAGTTTGTTCCCAAATCTCAGGTCCAGTGCCCACATAGTGTGCCCTGAAATTCGCCAAATTTTCAAATTGATCTGCAAAGAAACCACCTTTGCAGTCACTTGAGAATACTGTACTTTGTTTTTCTCCTTCAGATGAATAACCACTAGTTTGCTCTACATCCTTGGCATCACTATGCTTTGCGTTTCTGTGCATTAATGCAGCGTCTTTCGCTTCCAATGCCCTTCTCCTTGCAATATTGACATAGTGGTCTCTGTGTGTAATTGACACTGGCCTAACTCTTTCAACGGTAGCTCCAAGGGCTTCAAGAATTTGAGACTGAGAAAAGTTGGGTAGTTAGGGACAAAAATGAAAAGCAGAATCAAATTTGAACATAAAGAGTAGTGCTTCAATTACTCTGGACTCCGGAGTACACAGTACTGTGAAATCCAACACAATCATAGCAAAGAGAATTGGAAAGATAGTAAACAGCTAACAAGTGTAAACCAACAATAGTAACTGAACTACCAGAAACTATTTTTATTCCCAATATCAAGGTATGCACTTAACTGCAGCCTAAGCCACCTGAATCTAATTTTTGACTTTTAAAAGCAACTTAACTAAAACAGAGCAAGTGCTTGGAAAGAATCTGCTGAAGAACAACTTTACTTTGTCTTTAATTTGAAGCATCTGAAATAACTTTCTAGTCCACTAACTTAATTGTTTAATTATCTTAGTTGCCTCCTCCTTGGGAGGTTTAGTTGAGACCCACTTGGAGGCTATGGGTGTAGCTGGAGTATAAGGTCCGGTTGATAGATAAGTAAAGAAGCAGAATACACCTGCCATGTTAGGGATTTGAGAAGGGTTCAATTGATTACAATGTCCAACTATCTTAAACAAGCCATTGGAATCCACTCTTGCTTGAAGTTGCTTCCAAATTCACCTAAAAGAAACCCTGCCAGGGTCAATGGTGCAAAAATTCCGACAGTACCTAGCAGTAGGAGGCAAATCAAAAAGAACACTAGTACTCAAAAATAAAGTCTCCACATACTTTCTCTATAGCAACATCATCTGGGATAACCACGTGGCATTTGCATCCAAAAGCAGGAGCCACTGTTGCAAGACTAATAGCTGTACTTCCAGCACTCCCCTCTGTAACTACTCCACCTTCATGTAGAAGTCCAGATTCCAAAGCCTACACCAGGATCAACAATTGCCAGGCATAAGCTAGCTGGTAAGTGGAAGTGAAAACCGACATCTAGTGACAACTACATAAAAATTAGGTACGGATAGCCACATTCACCAATGTAAGAATTCTCTTTTTTTTTTTGGGGGGGGGGGATCTTATGTAAGAATTTTCTGTGAGTACTTATTTATGGACTATCTAAGACGATTTACAAATAAAAAACCAAGAAGTAAAATGATACAACTGACATCAAGAAGAAAATTTGCATTTACACAGATGTATTTATACAAAGTAGACAATATATAAATGGAAAAAATAGCTGGAGATCATGCATCTTGCAAAAAAGGCTACTATTTCTTTTGCTGCCTGTTAATCGAGGGAACTCTAAGTGCCGAACTGTATATATGATCACACTTTAACAATCTGAGGGAGCTATGAGGGGTGAAGCGGGGTTTTTCTTTTTAAATCCATACTATACACTCTTCAAATTGTAACATGGCTGTTAGAGTATGTGTGACTCATATTTGTTGTATGCACAATGGTAAGGAGGCAGATGCCGGAGTGGGATTGATATATTTTATGTATGGGGAGACGTTGATTAGTTGGGGGTGCCGGGGCAACGCCCCCGCGGTGCGGTACAGGGGTATTTTATAAATACGTCCGTACTAGGGTTATATAAATACTTAAAATGTAACCCTAATTTGAATAATGAAAAAGANAGGGGCAACGCCCCCGCGGTGCGGTACAGGGGTATTTTATAAATACGTTCGTACTAGGGTTATATAAATACTTAAAATGTAACCCTAATTTGAATAATGAAAAAGAACGGCCGCTCGCTCCTGTGGATGTAGGCACATTGCCGAACCACGTAAATCTCTGTGTTATTTTCTCTTGCTTTCTTAATTGTTTGATTCCTTATTATTCACCATAATTGCTGCACAATCACAACAACGCCCAACCTTGTATTTTTTGGAACATAATGGTTACCCTCATATTTTGAACCCAGCTAATTTGAAGGTTATCAGCCAAGCTTTTACACCTACATTAGCATTAGCCAATAGACCATGTGCAATACCTTTCAAAATTGTGAACTATGAAAAATAAAGGAAGCAGTACTAAAAAGTTGTTATTGTAATTCCTGCACAACAGTTAGTATTATCGTTTCTGGTAGCTAGGTAACCAAGGAGAACATGGATATTTGAATAGTAATATGCATTCAGGCAGAGAAAGGCCCCAAAATTGAGTAATAACATTCATGAGCATAATTCATAGTTCAAACAAAAAGGCACTGCGATAGTTCTTGGCTCACAAAAATGAGCTCCAACCACTTGTAAAAGTTGAAGAACTCTGTCATTCAGCCCAAAGATTCTACAAGCAAATTAGCTAGAATCAATCGCAAATTGGCATTGTTTATGAAAGTTTCCACAGCTTAGGGAAAACCCGAACGACCCAAAAATATTAAAAGCTTCAAAGATTAATAGCTTTACTTTTTGTTTCTGATTACCCCATAAGGGGAATAATCTCACCTCTTCAATAATTTTGACAGCGACCCTATCTTTAACACACCCTCCTGGATTCAAAAACTCGGCCTTTCCAAGTATCTGTAATATGGGAGAATAATCAACCAACAACGTCAACTCTAGCAACTGTACAGATAAAATTATCAAGACCCAGATGGCTAGACGAGAGAGAGAGAAAGAAAGAGAGATTACCTCGCAACCAGTTGCTTCAGAGAGGCTGTTAATTCTGATCAAAGGGGTGTTGCCAATGGCCCCAATGAGTCCTTTCCTTGGTTTTTTAGGTGAAAGGAGCTTGTGGGTCTTCCTCGATAAAGCCTTTGATAGAGAATTGTTGCAGAGGAAGTAGGAAAGTACGGCTATGGAGAGCCCAATTACAATAGCGCCTTTGGTTCTTACAAGCACCATTCCGAAGCCCCGAACTGGAGATATTTGACGGACTGGTTTCGGCTAAGATGGATACTATGGTCCGAGTCCGGTGAATATTCGGCATGATACTTATACTGAATATACAATATTGGTCCGACGAATGACACTTTAGCACCCAAAACATTTTCAAAATTTTAAATTATACGTTTAAATATTAATTTTTTCCTAAAAATAACTGCAACTTTGCCCTCACATGAACTTCTGTTATTATTTTCGTAAAATTCACGTATGTCATGTGTAGAAAGATTAATGATCAAACTTTTGTTCCGATTAACTATTTCGATCACTTAGAGAATAAAAACGTTTTAAAAATATTGTGAAAATGTCTGTAATGTGTTTTGAGAATGTTGTATGATTTCTTTAGGTGCTTGCATTTGGCGATGATAGCTCTGTTAAGGTGGGATTCTTGGACGTTGTTTGTGAGCAATTTAATTGTTTCGAGGGAATCTGTTTTCACCATCACTCTACTTATCCCCTTTGCTTGGAACTAGCCATAGGAAGTATATAAGCTCTTGGGGGTACCTCTAATTTCTTCAACCATTCCCAATTAAGACCGGGAACAGATTCAATACTCTTTGGTAAGTAGTTTATGCGCAGCTTTAGTGGAAAAACAACCCATTCATTATTAGATAAACCCCAATGGGAGAATCTTGAAACTCTCTATGGGTGGGAATTGGGGTATGCACAAAATCAATCAAAATAGAAGGTGGTAAAACCATACATGTCTCATGAAGCTTTTAGTTACCTCTGGAGTCAATGACATCTTGACACTTTGCTGTTGAGATCTGCAGTTGTTGGNTCAATCAAAATAGAAGGTGGTAAAACCATACATGTCTCATGAAGCTTTTAGTTACCTCTGGAGTCAATGACATTTTGACACTTTGCTGTTGAGATCTGCAGTTGTTGGAGAGACGAGTCTATTCTGTATTAACCCCTCTCCCTGCCACCGGTCAATCAAAAAAGAAATTTGTCCCTTCTTACCAATAACCCATTTTGTTCTCTTCTCTTCTCAATTCTTTGGTTTTTATGATGGCTCTCCAAGTGAGAGGCTGAACTTTTACTTAACCCCGGCTGCTCTTCTTTTGATACACAAATTATCCATGTTATTAACTACATTTTCCGTTAAAGAAGAAAGCACATATACGTTTCTTAATCCTGGATCAGAACGAAAAGGGTACGTTACCCTATAAGGGAAAACCTTTCCCAACAAGAGAATGCCTTTCTTTTGGCTTAGTTTACCAACCATGCAATGGTAGATAGCTAAAAGACGCTCACTTGGAAAAAAGTAGCCGACGCATCGCTTTAAAAAACGGACAGAGGCTTATTTGTTTAATTGTAAAATAAAAAACCCACCAATTGTACAGTGAAATGACCATAACACCCACCACCCTCCATACCAACACAGTATAAAATTATTTGAAATATTCAATGCTTTGATTAAAAAAAATTTTAATATTTTAATTGAATCTAAATATGAAATCTCAAATCCAAATTTACCCCGATTTGAACTTAACTTTAAAAAGCTCGACATGGACATATTCATGTTGTGGACCGAAGTTTTATAACTTATATTGAATGTTGATGAAACTCTGACTAGACAATTTTTGTACGGACATGGTGAAGTGAACTTGGACCTAACCCTTAAACTAAGGTCCAAGGTGGCCCCACCTAAAACTATTAAAGTAAAAGTGCCAACCACAATTGATGTCCTAGCTGTACGATGTTGAAAATACTTGGACCAAAATGCCACATCCATTAGGATGGTATTCCAATCTTTAATATTCAGTGATCGAATAAGAAATGAGTTGTGAATTTACGTCTTTTTAAGTTTCAGATTTATATTTGTTTATGATTGAAATTAATAATACTAGCTAGACTAATAAAAAACAAAAATAAGAGATAACAATATAAATATCAAATACTGTGACATTGTAATAATTATATTTTTGATCTCACTTTTATTTATTTAATATTCAAGATCTAATCACCATTTCAACTACCAAGTAATTATGGTTATATATTTTTTTGTTATTGTTGAAGGAATTCGGAACTTTAATTAGTGAAGGACTGTCAATCAAAAGCACGTGATAGAAACACGTGCAAGTCATGCAAGGACGGTCTCTAAACCGATAATGGTGTCAATTGGTTGAGCTAGTATTACCAAGTATAGGAGAGAAACCTGAACAAAATTAAGATGAAGACGTCTCAGCAAATTTGGGATAACAACACAGTAGATAATCAGGATTAAAAAGGATGAGACTTGATAAATATGTGATCTACACACACACGAAAGATAGAAGAAATTTCAGCATTAATCAAGAGGGAACCTGCTCAAAAATAAATGTGTCATATGGGATGACGAATGACGAAAATCCTAGCATCAAACACCATAAATATGACGTCAGAACAAATCTATGGTATGTTGTATCAATCCAATAGATTGATCAGTTCACTTCGAATAAACATATTAATTTTGACATCGAAATATCTTCGATCGATCAAATTTTCGATTTTAAATTATTTTTTTTCATTTTACAGGTGCTAGTGGCTTTTACTCATGAATTAGGAATCCCTCGTTACCCTCGTCGAAGAGGTACCAGATTTTTGCCTCTAACAATCATAACATTACTCAATTCAGATGGTGAATATAAATGATTATAGAATTATTAGGAATTATGATTATAAGTGGTAAGGCATGTACGATTAGGAAGATCTCACTATCCGAGTAAAAAAGGAAAAAAAGGGGGTATTTTGGGAAACAATCTTTTTGGTTTCTGAGATAAAATAAAGGATGAGAGGGACAAAACAGTAAACACACTATCCTTTCAGTTTCTTCACTCAGAGAATCTCTGCAGAGAGATAAACCCCAATACTCTCTCTCTCTCTCTTTCTCTTTCAATCCTACAAAAGCCCAGAAGGACCCATCACAACCTTACATTCATCTCACCCATGGAGATCCCAGAAANTCTTTCAATCCTACAAAAGCCCAGAAGGACCCATCACAACCTTACATTCATCTCACCCATGGAGATCCCAGAAAAGCTTTTGAAATTTAAATTTNGGTAAAACCATACATGTCTCATGAAGCTTTTAGTTACCTCTGGAGTCAATGACATCTTGACACTTTGCTGTTGAGATCTGCAGTTGTTGGTGAGACGAGTCTATTTTGTATTAACCCCTCTCCCTGCCACCGGTCAATCAAAAAAGAAATTTGTCCCTTCTTACCAATAACCCATTTTGTTCTCTTCTCTTCTCAATTCTTTGGTTTTTATGATGGCTCTCCAAATGAGAGAGGCTGAACTTTTACTTAACCCCGGCTGCTCTTCTTTTGATACACAAATTATCCATGTTATTAACTACATTTTCCGTTAAAGAAGAAAGCACATATACGTTTCTTAATCCTGGATCAGAACGAAAAGGGTACGTTACCCTATAAGGGAAAACCTTTCCCAACAAGAGAATGCCTTTCTTTTGGCTTAGTTTACCAACCATGCAATGGTAGATAGATAAAAGACGCTCACTTGGGAAAAAGTAGCCGACGCATCGCTATAAAAAAGGACAGAGGCTTATTTGTTTAATTGTAAAATAAAAAACCCACCAATTGTACAGTGAAATGACCATAACACCCACCACCCTCCATACCAACACAGTATAAAATTATTTGAAATATTCAATGCTTTGATTAAAAAAAATTTTAATATTTTAATTGAATCTAAATATGAAATATCAAATCCAAATTTACCCCGATTTGAACTTAACTTTAAAAAGCTCGACATGGACTTACTCATGTTGTGGATCGAAGTTTTATAACTTAAATTGAATGTTGATGAAACTCTGACTAGACAATTTTTGTACGGACATGGTGAAGTGAACTTGGACCTAACCCTTAAACTAAGGTCCAAGGTGGCCCCACCTAAAACTATTAAAGTAAAAGTGCCAACCACAATTGATGTCCTAGCTGTACGATGTTGAAAATACTTGGACCAAAATGCCACATCCATTAGGATGGTATTCCAATCTTTAATATTCAGTGATCGAATAAGAAATGAGTTGTGAATTTACGTCTTTTTAAGTTTCAGATTTATATTTGTTTATGATTGAAATTAATAATACTAGCTAGACTAATAAAAAACAAAAATAAGAGATAACAATATAAATATCAAATACTGTGACATTTTAATAATTATATTTTTGATCTCACTTTTTATTTATTTAATATTCAAGATCTAATCACCATTTCAACTACCAAATAATTATGGTTATATATTTTGTTGTTATTGTTGAAGGAATTCGGAGCTTTAATTAGTGAAGGACTGTCAATCAAAAGCACGTGATAGAAACACGTGCAAGTCATGCAAGGACGGTCTCTGAACCGATAATGGTGTCAATTGGTTGAGCTAGTGTTACCAAGTATAGGAGAGAAACCTGAGCAAAATTAGGATGAAGACGTCTCAGCAAATTAGGGATAACAACACAGAAGATAATCAGGATTAAAAAGGATGAGACTTGATAAATATGTGATCTACACACACGAAAGATAGAAGAAATTTCAGCATTAATCAAGAGGGAACCTGCTCAAAAATAAATGTGTCATATGGAATGACGAATGACGAAAATCTTAGCATCAAACACCATAAATATGACGTCAGAACAAATCTAAGGTATGTTGTATCAATCCAGTAGATTGATCAGTTCACTTCGAATAAACATATTAATTTTGACATCGAAATATCTTCGATCGATCAAACCTTCGATTTTAAATTATTTTTTTTCATTTTACAGGTGCTAGTGGCTTTTACTCATGAATTAGGAATCCCTCATTACCCTCGCCGAAGAGGTACCAGATTTTTGCCTCTTACAATCATAACATTACTCAATTCAGATGGTGAATATAAAAGATTATAGAATTATTAGGAATTATGATTATAAGTGGTAAGGCATGTACGATTAGGAAGATCCTCACTATCCGAGTAAAAAAGGAAAAAAAGGGGGTATTTTGGGAAACAATCTTTTTGGTTTCTGAGATAAAATAAAGGATGAGAGGGACAAAACAGTAAACACACTATCCTTTCAGTTTCTTCACTCAGAGAATCTCTGCAGAGAGATAAACCCCAATACTCTCTCTCTCTCTCTTTCAATCCTACAAAAGCCCAGAAGGACCCATCACGACCTTACATTCATCTCACCCATGGAGATCCCAGAAAAGCTTTTGAAATTTAAATTTCACATCTTATTTGCATCGGTTTTCTCTCTCCTCATCATCTCTATCATCTATGNACCTTACATTCATCTCACCCATGGAGATCCCAGAAAAGCTTTTGAAATTTAAATTTCACATCTTATTTGCATCGGTTTTCTCTCTCCTCATCATCTCTATCATCTATGTTGCGCCTCGGTTTCTTGAGATTCTCGCGTACTTTTGGCCGCTTCTAGTCTCTACGGCTCTGTTCCTCATAACCGTCATCGTCTTTGGGCAGATATCTCCGCCGACAACCGAAGCTTCAGGTGAAAAAACCGGTGAAGTGATCTTGGATTACGTTGCTGGCCAGCCGGAACAGGTACAACCAGAAGTAGAAAGCTACAAATCTGATGAGTAAAGTAACGCATGTTCTCGTCGCGCCTATGTAATCTCTCTTTCTCTCTCTCCAGTTGGTAGTGTAAAGGAATTGACAGGATGCGAATTTTGTGTTGGATTACTGTTTCAGGAATAATTATATGATCATCATCAATGGCTGTTGGGTCCCTCTCTCTTCTTTTTTCTTTCATTTTGTAAAAAAAAAAAAAATTGCTATCGTATCTGAAATTATAGTTTTCTAAGGTTAATCTATGCATCTTAAAATTGAAATTATAATTTTTTGAGTAATTCATGATGGATCATTAATAAAAAATGTAACTTAATTTTTAAAAATTATAAATTTTAATATAAATTACACTTTCATGTAAGATAGTATAACCACTCATGTACAAAAAATGAAATCACATTATTCACTTGTCTATTTAATATTGGATGATTACACAACATAATAAATGTTAATTTGGTGTAACCATTAGACTAAATTTTATGATTATTAGAGTATTTATAAGGAATAAATACCTCATGATGATCTGACTTAAGAACTTGCCAAAATTTGAATTCAGTTACTATTTGAGTTACTTTTNCCATGTCGAGATTAAAGTATTTATAAGGGATAAATACCTCATGATGATCTGACTTAAGAACTTGCCAAAATTTGAATTCAGTTACTATTTGAGTTACTTTTAATGAAGAAATTAATCAATATATGTAAATTCATCAAAACTAACCGTTCAACTAAAAAAGAATGAATTGTGAGGCGATATGCCCAAAAAAGGCACGCAAAAAAGCCTTTTTTGATTATTTTGCAATGTACTTTATTCATTATAATTAGGACCTTCATTTTTGTGTAATTTTCATGCAGTATTTTAGGGGGGGTGGGTTTTAACTTGAAGCCTCTTATTTTAAAAATTCAAGATATAAGTAAACAAGAAAATTAAGAATAAATATCATAATTAGCCTTTAAACTTTATCAATTATTTTAATTTAATCCTTCAACTCTTTTTCAAATCACGCACATAGTTGAATTTGTCTTATTAGTCTAGCTGTCACGCGCACACATTACCCTATGTTCGATTCTGTCATTTTATTCATTTTCACTTTTCCTACTTAATCAACATAGGCATGTCACCTACCCAATTAAAGAAGGCGGTGATTAGTTCTTGAAAGTCCATCTTAAAATGTTCATATTATAAAATTTATATCCAAAATAAATTTTTATTTTGAGAAGTTATACCAAACACAACCTAAGACGTATGAAACATCATCGTTCTCACGAGACTTATGTTTATTCTGTAACAAAAAAACTATTCATGAATTAGTTCTGTGGATCATCAGTTTTGTTATTTTCTTTTCTCTACTTTGACAGCATGTACGTAGATGTAGATGTGTTTCTCGAGAAAATATTCAATGTTATAGTGATACTGTCANGACATATGGAACATCATCGTTCTCATGAGACTTATGTTTATTCTGTAACAAAAAAATTATTCATGAATTAGTTCTGTGGATTATCAGTTTTATTATTTTCTTTTCTCTACGTTGACAGCATGTACATCGTTGGGCTCTCTCGTTTTGTTGCCATTTGTTGTTCACATTTTACGTAGATGTAGATGTGTTTCTCGAGAAAATATTCAATGTTATAGTGATACTGTCACCATTATACCTTGTGATGTAATCGATTTAAATTGAATAGTTAATTGGACTTTGAGATGATAGATTCGAAATACATCATCTCAGGTGGCCCATATTCAATAGTTCTGATGTGACGTTGCCCATTTACTAAATTTACTTTATAGTCCATGGCCCAGCATGGTTGGCCAATTCATGGGTCGGTGGTCCAGATTTAAGAGGCTCCACATATCTTTATTTATCTCTGTAGTCGTGGGGACCACTACNGACTTTATGGTCCATGGCCCAGCATGGTTGGCCAATTCATGGGTCGGGGGTCCAGATTTAAGAGGCTCCACATATCTTTATTTATCTCTGTAGTCGTGCGGACCACTACGATAATGGTATTTTATTGTATCTCAAGTTTGTAAACCAAACATTGCTCAATTTAATAGATGGGCTNTACTTTATAGTCCATGGCCCAGCATGGTTGGCCAATTCATGGGTCGGTGGTCCAGATTTAAGAGGCTCCACATATCTTTATTTATCTCTGTAGTCGTGGGGACCACTACGATAATGCTATTTTATTGTATCTCAAGTTTGTAAACCAAACATTGCTCAATTTAATAGATGGGCTGAGTGCAAGCAATTTTGTAATATGACTTTATCATACGTATATAGTCATCCTTTACATTACAAGATTGCATATTAAGGGAGAGACAGAGAGAGAGAGAGAGAGAGAGAGAGAGTAAAAGCATAGAAATTCCTTGCCTTGGAACTGATCACTGTCATCTACAACTGCACAAATCCATTAGTTTGAAATGAGTATACTTTCCTTGAGAAANGGGATGAGAGAGAGAGAGAGTAAAAGCATAGAAATTCCTTGCCTTGGAACTGATCACGGTCATCTACAACTGCACAAATCCATTAGTTTGAAATGAGTATACTTTCCTTGAGAAACTGGTAGAAGCCCAAGATGAAGATGTTCTATTTAACTAAAAGTCCAATGCAAAAACTGAGATAACACTGAGCAACTGAAACAATATTTCTTTGTAGTTGTACAAATAGTAGTTTCACAAGAATTGAGTAACTCACCTCCCTGGTGGAGATGATTGGGCGAGTATAATATCAGAGGCTGACAAAGTTCCTGACTGATCAACATCAAGATTTTCAAACTCTTCCATCACTAGTGAAATGTCTTCTTGCTTGATCTTTCCCATCTCTTTCAGCTTATACAAGATGAATTCAGCAGCCCTGACAAAATTAGGCAGTTTTCGGTTAAAACATAATTTGCAAAGATTTCAAAACCAATTTTAGGCTCAGACCACTCGCTTACCCCACATCCCCATCATTGTCAATATCAGCCACCTCCAAATCCTGATTCGTAACCCTTTTCGTAAGAATCCGCTTCGCCAATGCCCTTTGTCTGCTTTCAGTATTTAACTCAGCAAGATAGAGGAAGAACAGAGCTAAACAAATAGTACTTGTAACTATCCAAAATATAGCAAATACACGTCCTCTTTTTGTTGAGAAGCTCTTATCCCCATAACCCAGGGTTGTGATTGTACAGCAGACGCAATAAAAGGCATCAACAAGGTCTAATTTCTCAACTGTAACTAGGAAGATTGTCCCAGCAATTATGAGCACCAAAAGAAAGGCCAACACCATAAAACACTTATATCTCACTTTGTTAATTTCAATCTCCTTGAGAATNACCAATGCCCTTTGTCTGCTTTCAGTATTTAACTCAGCAAGATAGAGGAAGAACAGAGCTAAACAAATAGTACTTGTAAGTATCCAAAATATAGCAAATACACGTCCTCTTTTTGTTGAGAAGCTCTTATCCCCATAACCCAGGGTTGTGATTGTACAGCAGACGCAATAAAAGGCATCAACAAGGTCTAATTTCTCAACTGTAACTAGGAAGATTGTCCCAGCAATTATGAGCACCAAAAGAAAGGCCAACACCATAAAACACTTATATCTCACTTTGTTAATTTCAATCTCCTTGAGAATTTCTGTTGGACCAACTTTCTGATGAATATGTAATGCTTTAACCAGCAATATTTCTTGCTTTTCTACAAGGTAGTCTGCAGCTTTGCTTAGAATGAGCCCGAATAGAGCCATCCCTGAGAAGACAAAAGCACAGGCAAGTAGTTTCGTAGGTGTGCTATTGGGCACAAGGTCTCCATATCCAACAGTGGTCATTGTCACAATACAGAAATAAACAGAGTCAAGAATTCCATTGGTTTTCTTTCCTTGGATCTGGTGCCTTACGATGCTAAAGCAAACGGTGCCTATTCCGAGGTAGACAGCCAGGTATATGGCAACTTTCCTAAAACTTGGGTGGATTGAATCAAAAATGGACTCAGAACGTGGAAGTGAACCAGTGCCAATAAAGTCTCCAGGAACGAATTCCGCAAGAGGGGCACTTTTGCAGCGGCGGAATCTTCTTCTCTTTAGATCGGTCTTTTGATTCGTTTGATATGTAGGATCTAACAGTCCCGTCATCAAGGATTGTGCTGCAACGTTTTCGGCCATCTTAGCCAAATGTCAAAACACTTCTAGCCCTGCAAGCATCTTAAGCTTCAGAGTTTGGTAGTTCCCCACAAAAGCATATTGCTTATGATAATCGATGCATTAATTAAGCATTATTTTCAATAACAGAAGCTTTTAGCTCATCAATGCTTGAGTCAAATGTACGCACCCTCTTCCCAGTTAATTTGCTTGTTTGCAGGAGGAGAAGTTCCCCTTTCGTTTGTTTTCCCATTCAATCCAAAATTCCTTAGCACCATCTATCAAAGGTACTATATTTTTTGCCCCAAACAATAACGTTCTACTTCCAGAAGCATCAGATTTAAAGCCAAAACTTTTCCTTTAGAATAAGAGTTAAAACATTTAAATACCCAGTATTCATGTTTAATCGTTTCAAAAAAAACAAAAACAAACAAACATTGAAAATTTAGCATCAGAAGAACATGAATTGGGTTTAACTTTTAAGAATGCAGTAATAAAAAGCCACATGCTTCACCAAAAAGCAAAACCCAGAACGCTGTTATGGATCCCGTGAGTAAGGTTAGTTTTCTATTCCATTAAGACCATTAGGTCTATGTAAGATCTCGTAAGATCACTCTAGATAGTGAGAGATAAGACGAAAGTTAACTAAACAGAAAGATCCGACTTACCCGTGGAAGCAAGGTTTGAGTCCTTTTCTGAAACCCTTCTCCGAAAATGATGGAAGCTCCTTCCCAATTTCTCCGTGATTCTACTTTTTGTTTGCACCCGACTCTCTCTCTCTCTCTGATCTGCTCCAAGAGAGGAGGGTGGATAAGAGAGTCGTCTTTGTCGGCAATGACGACGTGGAGATATCGTGATTGTTCTTATATCCTGGGGCGGATCAAAACTCGGTCCAGCCCATTAGAATTCGGATACGGTTACTGGATCCATCACTCGCATGTCGACGGAGTAGGACCAAGCTTACCTGCAATTTTTATTTCAATAAACATTGAAAGCATCGAAGTGGTTTAATACCACCCACACCTACGTGGGAATACATAAAAGTGATTCATCGAAGCAACAAAATCTTGCAAGTTGCTTTTTCAAGTGTCAATAGCATAATGATCTGTTAATCGAAAAATGTTTTTGGTGATGCAGAGAAAATTGATTCATTCTATTAAATTAGATTAAGAAGTCAATTTGTTTGTGATGCAAATCCGTCATGGTTAAACTCATATCAGCTGATTATGGCAAGAAAAAAAAAAAAATTTACCCTTCTACTAGGGGATGGGGCCGGTAAAGTTTTTGCCCAATTCTGAAAGCTTTATACCATAAATAACATGGTCTGGTTTCCTCATTTTTGTATACTGTAATGGTAACTCTGACGTACTGTGATCATGGCTCGATTTCTTTCCAATTCAGGTGAATAAATTCTCTACAAATACGGTTCTCTCTCTGAGTCTTCATAACTCATCTTCAATACCCTTTTCTAAGAGAAGTTGTCAAGCAAGACTGATCAAACCTCAATGGAGCCTGTTGCAAACGTGGTAAACCCTAGGGCTAACAGAATTATAGAATACCTTCATTTGTTTCTCGATACACATACATATATGCATATGTGAGTCTTTATCTATGGATCTGTGTGTGCTTCTTCTGTCTTTTCATGCCTTGTTTTTAAACCCTAGTTTTTTGCTTCTTGTAGACTTGTCTTTTGAAAGTGAATGTCCATTGTGAGGCTTGCAAAATGAAGATGATGGAAGTGATGGGTTCCATAACTGGTAGGCTTTTTTTTTTTATTTGTCATACTTGTTTTTAAATCACTCTATGTACCATTTGACTTCCCAATAAGCAATAGTGTAGCTATAATATAACAAGGGCAGCCCAAAGTCCAATGAAGGGCATATATATGCAAAAAAAACTGTTTACAGGAACTCTAGTAGTATGCAAAACATATACTTATTAATATATAAGTATATGTTTTGCATGTAATTGTATACATCGTTTGGTCAAAGGCAAAGTGTTTTGAATTTGATTCCTCTTTTTGGTATAAAATTTGAGTTTAATGCAAGTATATGGCTTGCTATAATTGTATACATGGTGTTGGATCAATAAGTCCAACCAAAAAATGTGGTTGGGAAGANTTGGTATAAAATTTGAGTTTAATGCAAGTATATGGCTTGTTGTAATTGTATACATGGTGTTGGATCAATAAGTCCAACCAAAAAATGTGGTTGGGAAGATACCCTAGTAAGAAAAACAAGCAAATCACACAAACATTATTATCTTTGTACTTATTATTTTGATTGCAAATTATTTTTCAGGAGTGTATTCTGTCACCATAGAGGCACAAGAAGGGACAGCAAAAGTTTGTGGTGAGGTTGACCCGAACATACTACTAAGGGCCTTAGCCAGATCAGGAAGGCATGCAGAGCTCGTGTGGGTCAAGCTCAAACACCCCTCCCTAAGTAGATGTAATTATGAGAATGGCTATGGCTCGAATGGTTCGTATGGCTATGGTGCACTAGAAGAACCCTACAGGTACGGAAGAGCATTGCCATTGCCTGAACATTCGTCTTACAACACACACCAGCACTGCCCGATGAGAAGGGCTGTAATGGAAGGTCCTACGTATAGCACAAGCCTTCGCTACGGCTACAGCCCATCGCCACCGGCTAGGTATGTACCTGGGTATCCACCGGCGGTGTATGATCCATATGAAGAAGAAACCATCAACTTTTGCTGTGTTATGTGAATCAACAAAGACATGCATGGCTTGTCCTTCGGTTTCTTCTTAGCAAGAAAACTAATATATCATACGATTATGCGGGTGCTCTGGTTCGGATTTGAAGTTAATTTGATTTGTTTAATGTTCTGAATTCCTAGGGTATAATCAGGTTATTATTCTGTGCCCATGTTTTTGACATGTTGATTATAGATATGAAATCTCAAATCCAATGATCTCATTCGATACCTTTTTTCTCAATTTCTTGAATCTAGGTCGGTCAAACTTGAATTTAAAAAATTGATACAAAATAATTACACTGACAAGAGTTACCTGCTTGGTATTATGGTAGGAAGTGTTTAAAAAAGTAATCAAACCCAAAAAATAGGGAAAGGCTATGCTACCAAAGGATGCACTGTACTGAAATTTACAATCATTTAATATTAAGTTACATTTTTAAAAAAATATAAATTACAACTTTTAAAGGTCATGATCGATCATGATAAATTGGGATTAATAATAAATTATAACTTTTAAAAACTAAGTTACAATTCATAAGAGAGAAGTTACAATTGCACAGGAAAAATTCATGATCGATTATAAATATCTGTGATTGATCATGGTCCCCTTAATCGATCATATATTTACTCCGAACAGTTATAATTTTTTTCTTTTGAATTATTATTTTATCATTAAAATTATAAATTACCGTATGATACCCAAGGCGCGTGGACTGTCCGCGAAAAATAAGATAGATTCTCTCTATTAAAGATGGTATAGCTGTATGATCCCATAGCATGGCGAGACCTAGTTTGAGATGGCCCGACCCAATAGGGTGACAAACCAATGGGCCATTAGACGATCCATCCCGCTTCCTGGGCTGACCATGGGTCTTATTACTCAAACCTATAGTTGACCCATGGACAACCTGAAAATTTAGAAAAAAAAATTAATAAATTAATAAATTGATTTGCTATATTTGTTTTTGAAGTTTCAACCATTCACGAACTTACCATTCAAAAATATTGCTAAATAACACATTTTTTTCCATGAGAAACTCTTAAAGTTTTGTTACTTTAAGATCAAGCTCCATTTCAATACACATTTTCTTCATTTCTTATCTTAGCAAATCTCTTATAAGTTATCTATGATATTGTGCTTCTTTCTGTAGGTGGAGATTTAAAAGAGGTTGACACATGTGTTTATGCTAAGAGTAATCGAAGGGGGTAAGCAAGATAAGTGAATGGGATAAAAGGAACTTGAGCAGCCTGTTAACAAAAAGACGTACTAGTTGGGCAGATGATAGGTGAAAAATACTCTCACCAGCCAGAAAATCCTCCTCTTCAGTGGGCAAGTAATGTGAGTATTTATAGCACAATGCTCAGACAGGTCAGACTACCCAAAGGGCTGCCCACCGCGACCCCTTACCACTCGCGTTAACCCACAACTGTCTCAATCGCAACAATACCAATGGACATTAAAGACGAGTCATGTGTCCCAACATTAACTAGGCAGATGTGATGTTTTTCAAAATACAACTTGGACGTGGGCCCGAGGAAGGTGTGACAGTCAAGGTGAGAGAGAACTCCTAACGTCCATGACTGCGAGTGGCCATCGTGGGACCATGGCCTTGAGAGGACCATGCTCGTGATTCCCCTAATGCGCTCCTACCCGAGGTCTTTCTTTCCCTCTCTAGACCCTTCTTGGAAACCTTTGTCGAGGTGTCCGATAGAGGAAACTCACATAGTTTCGGTCCTTCGGCTATCAATTCATATGTCTCATAATCCCATATGCTGATCCAGGCCAATAACCCCAGTTACCTTAGGAGTCTTTCCAGATCCCAATCAAGCACATCCTACTGGGCAGTGAGTCATACATTGGGAGGCCGGGTTGAGCAGACTAAACCTTCGAGACTCTGCCCCAGGTTGAGGTTGACAATCATGTTCATCCACCCCTATTGCTCAATTCTCCTTTGAGGAAGGTTATACTTCCCTGTCCCTAGGTGGGGACACCTTTTAGTCTAGTGAGTCAATCGAGCAATGGTTGAGGATACCATTCCCGCAGCGAAGGAGGTGAGTCTCATCGCAATTGACCCCACACTTCTACGATTNTTATACTTCCCTGTCCCTAGGTGGGGACACCTTTTAGTCTAGTGAGTCAATCGAGCAATGGTTGAGGATATCATTCCCGCAGCGAAGGAGGTGAGTCTCATCGCAATTGACCCCACACTTCTACGATTCCACTTCTGCCAAACCTTGGTGAAAGGTTCATTTTGTTACTTCCAATATGATGGAGGTGTATCTCGCCCTGATGCAGTATTGTGCTTGAGAACATCATGCCCAGGTTGCCCCATACTTCCGCGATTCCACTTTTGTCCACCCTTGGTGAAGGGTCCATTTTTCCACTTCCAATTTGATGGAGATGTATGTTGCACTGTTGCGATGTTGTGCCAGAGGGCGTCGTGACCAAAGGCGTTGTACCTTAGGTGTCACGCATGAGTGTTGTGCCTTGGGCATCATGCATAACATTATTATCTACACACGCTCAGGGGCCGTCGCGACCAGGGGGTCACTGCCAGGGGGGGTCGTAGCCAGGGGCGTCACACTTTAGGTGTCGCGCATGAGTGTTGTGCCTTGGGCGTCACGCATAACATTATTATCTACACTAGTCCAGTTGACGCTGTCAGGGCGTCACACCCAGGGATGCCACACTTGTCACTCTTATTTATACCAGTTCAACTGAATTGTGTCGGGCCCCATTTTCATGTAAAATAATAATCATTGCTACTTGTCCTGTTATGATGGAGACATGTGTCTTAAAATTTTTTGCGCACTACACTTTCCAAAACTTCGGATCGACCCGGGTTTCCCTTTCTTGGACTACAGTTCTTTACAGTTGAAGAACTCCACTTTTATCGACATTTGCTGACCATAATGTAGTGGTCCATGTAGCCATAAATGAATTGATTTGACTATGTTGCATTATGTGATTCAAGGGTGCAGAGGGACCCAATCCGAGTTTGTAGTTATATGAATTTTCTAGTAATGACCATTAATTTAGGACACGTCGTCGTCAAATTTCCTAAATACAGAAGGAATTTTATAATTAATTGTTTCATTTCTGTAGTATTTTAGTACAATAAAAAAAAGATCGTTTCTCATATCATATTTGATAGAAATAGTCCCACCAACTATATAAACCCATTCAATACGCGGATATCATTTAATAGTGTTATTTGATTGAACGGATCGGAGCGTAGGTGAACGAGCAGAGCTCAAGAAACAGGGAAGTCTCTCATAGAACAGTCGACTGAAAATAGAAGACTGTTGGCCTAAAAGAAGACGACTCTCTCGAAAAACATGACCCAATTTCTCTTCTTTCCTTTTTCAGGGCCCAAATGAGGTGGGGGAGATGGAAGTCGAATCTCTGATCGACCGGGACACATAAAAAATTCTCGGCGTCGGGAAAGATTCAAGATTGCATAAGTAACTCAGTGAGTGCTTTCTAAGAACGGCTTGGCTTGGAAGAAGAAAATGAAATATGAATAATTTCGCTGGTCGTAATAGATCAACTTTTATGTTAGTTCTGGCATTAATCAAGTATGATATGCGTGTCTAAATAATACAAGAACTTTTGATTATCTTATCTTGATCATCCTATATAATAATCAGGTAAAGTTGCGTAATTAAGAGCCTTATTGTTTAGGACAATATCGAAACAATTTAACAAAAGAAATACTTCAAAAAGCTTGGATTACAAATATAAATACATGTAATAGCCCCAATAAACTTACCAAAAATGTATCAAAACACACAAAAAATTAACTAGACGATTTTTTTTTTTTTTTATGGTCTAAAAACAACAGTTTGATGCTAGAGCAATAAAACTCTTCGAGATCTTTTTTTAGAATGGAGTCGAAACCAATTTTCCTGATAATGTTACTGAAATATATCTCATTTACTGATTTTATTTTTTAATTTAATGTTTTGTTTTCCAACCACCCTCAAGTACCAACAAATCCTTTACTATTACTGACTGATCTTATCCATTACCATTGATGTGCCACACTTCTATTGCAGATGTAGATCAATCAGCAATTTTGCTCATTATTACATTGACTTAACTTAGAGGAGAAGGTTCCATTTGGATAGAGCCTGCCCTATGCAAGAAACCCACATAAGGGGGGTTGACAATGAAAGCCATGATATTTGCAGCCACAAATGTGCAAACAAGTCCAAAGAGCTCGTAAATTCTTAGGCCAGCTGTATTGTACAATGTTGGTAGAACATGACAATATTAGTCTCTTTCAATAATAATGAGAATCGTTTACCACGTCTCTTCCTTGTCACTTTTCTTTTTTTTTTTTTTTTTTATTCAACGGTTAGAATATTGAAATTAACTTATGCATACTTCAAATAATTTTCGCTTCAATTCAATCAAAAACAGAGTATTCATACCAAAATTAAGAAATTATGAGAGATAAAACCCTCATAATCTAACCCTAAAGATTTGTCAAATTCGTATTTAAAACATCTAAATTTACCATTCATCTTTATTATTATTTGTACTACTGATCGGTTTCTCGTAACTTTTCAAGCCTTTAACTTCAACTGTTCTACTTTCTCATTAAGTTTTTGAGAGGACAATTTAAGAAGATTAAATACAGATGTCCTTTTATAGATGTCTTTGGATTAGACTTATCGGTAGTCTCACAGTTTAGCAATTTTATTAAATACATTTTTTTTTTGATTTCTCATAATGGTAAATTATATGTCACGAGTTCAAGTGGAGCACCTCATATATAAATGGATGGGGGAAAATCAATAATTGAGAAAAAAATTAATACTTTTTAGTTTCGTATCAAAATTATTGCAAAATAAGAGTTTTCGACTCAAATTATTAAACTAATGATAAAATAAGGTTGTTTGGGATTGAATTCAACATCTAAAACAATAAGGTCTGTTTGGTATATTTTTTGGAAAGGGTTTGAATTGGTTTGTCCAAACTCAAAGATAGAATTCAACATGCAATGTTATCCGTATCCATGTTTAGTATGCGCACCAATATATGATTATTATGATAATATATTTGTATATAAATGACTATTGCGCCCTTTAACCAATTTGGGTAATATGAGATATATTTGATATATAAGGGTATAAATATTATTTATATATTAAATCCTTTAACTGACTTATGAATGGGCCTAAAGCAGATTGAGTTTCAAACTCTGAACACATTATTTATATACCAAATATGAGTTTGTTGGATTTTATTCTCCGGTTCATATTTTAAAACTCCCTCAAACCCACGTGCCAAACTGCCACTAGGATGATAAAGCTGAAGCTGCTTACACTAAAGTGATCAGATTCCCAGGCCAAAACCTTTTTTTGATGGGTTAGGAGATTGTTTTTGGGAGGGGTGTGGGTTTCCAAGAATCCCATCTGAAAACTGATTTCATGCATGCATGGTGTATTTCAAACCGTCCCAATAAAAAGAAAAAAGAAGAAGCTTTAATTGATAATAGCATCCACTCCCCACTGTTTTGTCCCTTATTTGAAAAAGAAAAGTAGAAAACGCCAAGTCAAGTGGGGGTATCTATAGAAGCTTTCCAAGTGTCAAAATATGAAAGCAATCCTACAATGCCAGACAAAAATCAGATCATCGTTTTCATCTTTACCTGAAGTCCCCAGCAGTCCCATGGATATTCATTGTTTTTTTCCATCAACAGGTCAATTTATACATATTTTAATTAATTTTTTTATTTATTTAGTTAAAGATAAATCATACATACTTAGACTAGCGTATTCATTAGAAATAAATTTCTATTAACTTGAGCTTAAGAATTGTTAAAATTCAAATTTAGTACGCCTGAATTTATAATTCGTCCTTGTTTTCAATCCATCTTATTAGAATCATTTTTATGCGGCCCTATATGTCAAAACCTGAAAAATATAGCTGTAATTTTTTGTTTATTTTCCTGTTTGGACATGAGCAGGAGATTTGTTCATTGAGATTAGAGATTAGGCTAAGCCTAGTACAATCAGATTACACTGTTCAATGCGGGTCTATAAATTACGAACCGTATCGGAGTCGTTGATCATCGTAATTTACATTTCATGTAATCCATGAAATACTTGGTACGCCTCAATCCAACGGAACTGTGGCTTGGGATGTTGACAACTATTATGGTAAGAATTGGTAACTTGCTTTCCACACTGAAAAGAGATTATCTTTGCATGTTCATTTGGATTCACGAGGTGCTGAATACAAAATAAATAGAAAACATACCTAAAGATATTAATTTATTGATCTACACATGCCACACTCAAGAGTTTATGGAACAAAGGGAAAGGAAAACATAAACATCTACATCTAGGATTCTACCTACCACATCAAAGCGAAAAAAGGAAATGGGGAGAGAGAGAGAGAGAGAAGGAGAAGGAGAAGGGGGGGGGGGAGATCACCTAATTATTAACCATGACTAATGGTTGTTGAGCTTTAAACCTTATTTCTTCCTTCACCCTTCTAATAAAATCATCAAATTTCTTGTTTAACTCTTCAGTACTCAATAACTCATTTCCTTCTTTTCCTCCTCCTGCATTAGATTCATTCAATGGCTCCTTCTCAGTCTCTTCTTCTTCTATATAAAATGTTATATTTTCTTCTTTTCTCTCTCCTCCATCCACAGCTTCTCTTACAATTAAGCTGGACTCACTTTCTGCCTCTTGTGCTTCATGTTCTACGATCAAGTTCAAGCTTTCTCTTTTCTCTTCTATGAAATGTTCTCCTCCTCCTCCTCCTCCTTCTTCGTTTTCTTCGGAACCAGCATTCTCTGTTTCCACCAAACTTTCCTTCTCTAACAAAGATTCTTTAATCCCTTCTGGTGATACTTGCAAACCGTCTCCAACCTTGTTTAATATAAGGTCGTTAAGATCAAACCCTGAGGGACTAAGAACCAAGCCAGAGGTTTTTACAAGGAACACCAAGATTCCATTGCAAATAAGAAATATGCAGTTTTTGTGAAGGGTATGGCTAACAAGTTGAACTGGGAATGTACTGACATAGAACTTGATTGAAGGCAGTAAAAAAGAGTACCATGAAGAGTAGACAAAGAGCAAAGAAAATATAGATATTGAAAGTAGCAACTGGGAAAACTTCTTTGAGATATGAGATGTCATGAATTGAGTCAAACTTTGTAAGTTTTGGTGCTTACTTTCGTCCATTCTCTCTCTCTCTCTCTCACACACACACACAGAGAAGAAGCTACTTCTTTTTTTGTGAATTTTTCAAGGGTGTTATTGGGCGGAGGTTGGTCTGTGAAGGGACCATATGAGGGCTTCTCTTATATAGCCATTGAAGTGGTGAGAGTACTCCCTAAGGTTTCTATTTAGGGCAGCCAAGTAACCCTGCCATGTCCAAGAGTCGTGTGATTAAGATTGCCAGGTGGAAGGGGTATTCTCATTTACCTAAAATTTTAAAAGTCTCCACCTGTCCACCACAATTTCTAAATTTGAGTGATCTTCATGTTTACCAACTCGTGGTTGACTGCTTTTTGGCTACATAGTTCATTATTGAGAAGTAATGTCCACCCAAAAAGAAAAAGGCAAGAGATTATAAGAAAGGTAGAGAAAATAATAAAGGTCTGGTTTAGGCTCCTTCATGTCCAATGGAATGCAGTCCTAAATTTACCTAATTTTCTTTCACTTATTTATTGAGTTTTTTTTTCTTTTTTCTTTTTTGCTTGGAGGAAAAAAAAAGATAGGTATAAAAGAGAGTTTTTAAAAAGGCCACTTCAATAAGTATTCATTGGTGGGATCATGAGATCTCTCATCACGTTTGTTACACTTTTCCGAAACAAATCTAACTAAGTTAGTATAGCGGTCAATGATGGAGTTTCAATGTAAACTTTAAAACTCGAACCTTTAATCTCAGGGTAAAAAATTTAACTGATATTCCACTGGACCATCTCACTCGATGGTGAGTTCTACCGGTTGTTATTTAAGAACTAAAACTATTTTCCCACAATGACGATGCATGTTATTTCTACTTAAAATGAATACAAGATCGATTATGAAGTGAGATATATTGTAATGAATTTTTCTTCAACTTTAATCAATCATATATTGTTTAGCATGAGTTCAAGACTCACTATAGATAAATACGAGCTTTTCACCCATAGATAATCATGTAAAATATAAAATATTATTATATATATTAGATNAATCCATGAAATACTTGGTACGCCTCAATCCAACGGAACTGTGGCTTGGGATGTTGACAACTATTATGGTAAGAATTGGTAACTTGCTTTCCACACTGAAAAGAGATTATCTTTGCATGTTCATTTGGATTCACGAGGTGCTGAATACAAAATAAATAGAAAACATACCTAAAGATATTAATTTATTGATCTACACATGCCACACTCAAGAGTTTATGGAACAAAGGGAAAGGAAAACATAAACATCTACATCTAGGATTCTACCTACCACATCAAAGCGAAAAAAGGAAATGGGGAGAGAGAGAGAGAGAGAAGGAGAAGGAGAAGGGGGGGGGGGAGATCACCTAATTATTAACCATGACTAATGGTTGTTGAGCTTTAAACCTTATTTCTTCCTTCACCCTTCTAATAAAATCATCAAATTTCTTGTTTAACTCTTCAGTACTCAATAACTCATTTCCTTCTTTTCCTCCTCCTGCATTAGATTCATTCAATGGCTCCTTCTCAGTCTCTTCTTCTTCTATATAAAATGTTATATTTTCTTCTTTTCTCTCTCCTCCATCCACAGCTTCTCTTACAATTAAGCTGGACTCACTTTCTGCCTCTTGTGCTTCATGTTCTACGATCAAGTTCAAGCTTTCTCTTTTCTCTTCTATGAAATGTTCTCCTCCTCCTCCTCCTCCTTCTTCGTTTTCTTCGGAACCAGCATTCTCTGTTTCCACCAAACTTTCCTTCTCTAACAAAGATTCTTTAATCCCTTCTGGTGATACTTGCAAACCGTCTCCAACCTTGTTTAATATAAGGTCGTTAAGATCAAACCCTGAGGGACTAAGAACCAAGCCAGAGGTTTTTACAAGGAACACCAAGATTCCATTGCAAATAAGAAATATGCAGTTTTTGTGAAGGGTATGGCTAACAAGTTGAACTGGGAATGTACTGACATAGAACTTGATTGAAGGCAGTAAAAAAGAGTACCATGAAGAGTAGACAAAGAGCAAAGAAAATATAGATATTGAAAGTAGCAACTGGGAAAACTTCTTTGAGATATGAGATGTCATGAATTGAGTCAAACTTTGTAAGTTTTGGTGCTTACTTTCGTCCATTCTCTCTCTCTCTCTCTCTCACACACACACAGAGAAGAAGCTACTTCTTTTTTTGTGAATTTTTCAAGGGTGTTATTGGGCGGAGGTTGGTCTGTGAAGGGACCATATGAGGGCTTCTCTTATATAGCCATTGAAGTGGTGAGAGTACTCCCTAAGGTTTCTATTTAGGGCAGCCAAGTAACCCTGCCATGTCCAAGAGTCGTGTGATTAAGATTGCCAGGTGGAAGGGGTATTCTCATTTACCTAAAATTTTAAAAGTCTCCACCTGTCCACCACAATTTCTAAATTTGAGTGATCTTCATGTTTACCAACTCGTGGTTGACTGCTTTTTGGCTACATAGTTCATTATTGAGAAGTAATGTCCACCCAAAAAGAAAAAGGCAAGAGATTATAAGAAAGGTAGAGAAAATAATAAAGGTCTGGTTTAGGCTCCTTCATGTCCAATGGAATGCAGTCCTAAATTTACCTAATTTTCTTTCACTTATTTATTAAGTTTTTTTTTCTTTTTTCTTTTTTGCTTGGAGAAAAAAAAAAAGATAGGTATAAAAGAGAGTTTTTAAAAAGGCCACTTCAATAAGTATTCACTGGTGGGATCATGAGATCTCTCATCACGCTTGTTACACTTTTTCGAAATAAATCTAACTAAGTTAGTATAACGGTCAATCACGGAATTTCAATGTAAACTTCAAAACTCGAACCTTTAATCTCAGGGTAAAAAGTTTAACTGATATTCCACTGGACCATCTCACTCGATGGTGAGTTCTACCGGTTGTTATTTAAGAACTAAAACTATTTTCCCACAATGACGACGCATGTTATTTCTACTTAAAATGAATACAAGATCGATTATGAAGTGAGATATATTGTAATGAATTTTTCTTCAACTTTAATCAATCATATATTGTTTAGCATGAGTTCAAGACTCACTATAGATAAATACGAGCTTTTCACCCATAGATAATCATGTAAAATATAAAATATTATTATATATATTAGATGAGGTTAAAAATTGTCGACCGATATGTTTTCATCCATTATAGCTTGTTTCTCCGCCCACCATGGTAGGAAAATTCTTAGTCCTCCAACACGTAATTTCATCTGATATGGTATGGTNTATAGCTTGTTTTCATCCATTATAGCTTGTTTCTCCGCCCACCATGGTAGGAAATTTCTTAGTCCTCCAACACGTAATTTCATCTGATATGGTATGGTGGACATATAACCTTAGTTTCATCCCAATGAGTCAAACCAAGGCCTACCAACGGGCTTTGATTCAATGGTATTCTTTTTGTCTNGAGGTTAAAAATTGTCGACCGATATGTTTTCATCCATTATAGCTTGTTTCTCCGCCCACCATGGTAGGAAAATTCTTAGTCCTCCAACACGTAATTTCATCTGATATGGTATGGTGGACATATAACCTTAGTTTCATCCCAATGAGTCAAACCAAGGCCTACCAACGGGCTTTGATTCAATGGTATTCTTTTTGTCTTGTAAATGTTTTATCTTCTTAAAATTAAGGGATGAAGTCTATCTCCGCCTCCGCATTCCCCTTCCCCCAAAAAAAAAAAAAAAAAATTTAAAAAAAAGTCAAAGCAAGCCTCATGCTAGCTTACTCATGCACCTTTTCAGCAACGTTCCATTTTGGGTACGTATATGCCTAATTTCTTTTTATATATTCACCTAACTGGTNATAAATGTTTTATCTTCTTAAAATTAAGGGATGAAGTCTACCTCCGCCTCCGCATTCCCCTTCCCCAAAAAAAAAAAAAAAAAATTACAAAAAAGTCAAAGCAAGCCTCATGTTAGCTTACTCGTGCACCTTTTCAGCATCGTTCCATTTTGGGTACGTATATGCCTAATTTCTTTTTATATATTCACCTAACTGGTCCAATTTGGCATAATAAAGAGATTCTATTTTTCATACGCTAACTTCAATAATGACCGAAATTTTAGCCAAAACAAGATTAATCAAAGATTCCTTCAATATCATCAGATTATAACCGAACTGATTTATACAATAGAGATAACTAGAGTAGTTAGGAATGAATAGTATTTTACAATAGAGGCACCTAGAGTAGTCGGAGATGTAATTTGGACGGGTCAAATAGATTAAGAGATGAATTTGAGTTTANCAGAGGCACCTAGAGTAGTCAGAGATGTAATTTGGACGGGTCGAATAGATTAAGAGATGAATTTGAGTTTAACTCAAAATATAGAATTTGGATACCAATCGAGCTCTTAAAAATTTCAGTGTAAGTATCAAATTTTTATTTTGTGTCATATCAACCANTAGAGGCACCTAGAGTAGTCGGAGATGTAATTTGGACGGGTCAAATAGATTAAGAGATGAATTTGAGTTTAACTCAAAATATAGAATTTGGATACCAATTGAGCTCTTAAAAATTTCAGTGTAAGTATCAAATTTTTATTTTGTGTCATATCAACCAATTAGATATTATAAAATAGACGGACGATTAAACGAAAATATAACGGTGGATTATAATGTAACGTTTTTTATTTTTTGTGGGGTCAATGTGAAAAAAATAATTATTCAGAGGTAAATTGAGAATTTTTATATCTTTCAGGGGCGTGGTCCAACGTCTTTAATTTTTTGATGTAAAAAAATTAATCATTTCCGAGCAATTGAGAAATTTTAAATATGTCAGGGGTCNATAATTATTCAGAGGTAAATTGAGAATTTTTATATCTTTCAGGGGCGTGGTCCAACGTCTTTTATTTTTTGATGTAAAAAAATTAATCATTTCCGAGCAATTGAGAAATTTTAAATATGTCAGGGGTCAAAATAGAATTTTCTCCCCGCTTTAAGACTAAAAGTGGGGGCATTTTCGCCCATCCAATTTGTCCCACACATGCTCTTCACAAGTCATCATTTTCTGTTAACCCCCTCTAAAACCCTACTTCAAAATCCGTACAATTCTCTGTGCTCTGTCTCCTCAATCTTCTTAATCCTATGCGAAGCCCTAATTGAACCAGAGAAGATCTGCAATGTCTGCAATGATTCGATCTCGCGTTGTCTCTATTATATCGAAGAAAAATCGTCCATTTTGTTCGAGCGTACATACGGATCCTTCCAAAGGACCGGTCATTTCTTCTTCTTCTTCTTCTTCTTCTTCTTCTTCTTCTTTGCTCAACAATCAAGCTCCGCCACTACCCAATTCTCCTCCGCCACCACCTCCCTCGACTGCAGCAGAGAAGAAACCATGGAATTTTCTTAAGTACAGTCTCCTCGCGGCACTGACCGGAGGCGTTTCTACCGCTAGTTACGCCACCTATGGTACACGTCTTGGATGCCTTTTTATAATTAGCTATTATTAAGTTTATTTTTCGTCTAGGTATTCTAGATGTATTTAAGGGAAGAAAAGTGTGTAGTATGTGATGAACATTCCGGAATGATTTCTTTTGTAGAATAGATAAGTTGAATTGCTTCGGAAACCACAGTTTGAGAACTTCTGAATTGGAATCAAGAACTCATTATTTTGATTATATTTGAAATTTTATGAGCTTAATTTTGGACCAATTAGAGATAATTCAAAAAATAAACAATTCAGCGTGTAGACAAAGCTGAAAGAGAGCTGTCATGATCTGATGAAGATTGGAATGCTTCCCTCTGTGGAACTAGAATCTTGAAACTACTTCAAAGACAATGCAAATCTGCATTGCCTCGACCTCTTGAGTCGTCCAGAAGAATGAACATAGAAAAGCTTAAGCTATGTTGTCCGAATGTGGAAACAGTTGATACAAGGGAAATGAGTATTGACTCTCGAATTCAAGGTAGGCCTAGTTATATAATGATGCCATCTGGCCTCCGGATTCATCATGTTAGTGAGGTTCTCCGAGGGCTGTGGCCACAACCCAAGTGGGGAAGGAGGTTATAAACATATTGATGCATGTGGTTATGAATTTATCTCCCTGGCCTGTCTTGGCTGTGCTTGCATCTTCTTTTAATAATTTTTTGTTGCGGTGTTTCAACATAAACTTAACTATTATGTATGCAGTGAGATTGTTTTTGCTTGCATATTAAGATTGATGTTATTATTTGCAGCATACAGTTTGGACGAAGTTGATCAGAACACAAAGAGTTTGCGTGCATCTGCAAATTATGAAATAGAGGATGATGCATCTGCTCTTGATGTGAAGTCTAACATAGCTCTTTTATCAATTTGTGTGAATTTTGTGTGAGCAATTAGGATTTTAATTATGATTTTTGGCAAATTGTATATGGTGCTTTTGGTCATGAAGTAGTTGCTAGGGTCTTTTGAGTACGGAGTAGTTTAGGCAATAGACCATTGAGTGGAGCCGAATGCCTTTATGGTGTAACCTTCTTTTTTATGGAACATCCATTTATGTCCATCCTTATACCTCACCACCCTAAAAGAAGAAACTATTGGAAGTTGATTTAATTTGGGAACTACCAAACTATACTGTGGACCATTTCTATAAAATGATTATGTCACTTAACATGTTCTTTTTGGAGTTTTCCTTCATGCACAACAGGCAAGTTAAAGTATCCTATTTATTTGCTAATTGGAGAAAGTGGCAAATCTTCTTTTGTTTTCTCTTTCTCCCACCATTGGCCTTGTTACACAGACTCAGATACTACTATTTTCTATGGTTTGTGTCTTAAGTTTCAGATTTAGATTTATCTCTTTCCACGTTCAAGGATAGCAGCACTTATGTCAAATTCTGCTGCTGGATGAGCATAGCTGATCCCCCAGTTCATGTCTAGAATATATATTGTTAGAAGCCTAAAATCCATGTCCACCGAATGAAATGGGGAACACATAGCTGACTAGCTTTATTGGCCATAAACTCCAATTGGAAACTGTGTTTTTTGGCATATATTTCTAATATAATAGTTAGAGTATATATTTTTATGAAAGCCCCTCCCTTTCTTTTGTAATTTAATGAAGAAGAGGATAAGAGACAAGAAGGTTAATTGTTCACTGCCTATATGAATTAAACTTTTATGGCCTCATCCTCTTTAGATGTCACGCTGAATTGCACCGCTATGCTACTACGGCTTTGTCATAGCCAGTTCTCTTTTGTTAGGATGCAAGTGTCGGGGGATGTGTGTGCACGTGGGCATTACCTGAGTCTTATTCAGTTTGACTTATGTAGTATCTAAGTTACTTATGGTTTGGGAGGTTGAGTCATGAAAGATGATATTCCCTTTTCAATTGATTATGCAGAAATTTCAAGCTTTGCTGTACTCTGCTGTAATGACAGGTGGGTTCTTCAAAATTTTTTCAGATTTGAGTTGCTGTTTTTTTGCTTGTTATAAAAAGAATGTCTTTTTGTTTACTTTCTAAAAAAAGAAAAAAAGGTGCCTTTTTTTTGCCACAAAAAATCATTTGTATTTCGATATGTGCAATCCCTTTTGAGATTGTCTCATTCTCCCTTGAACTGATTATTTATTGCTAGGTATGGTGGTTAATTCAATTTGTTCCAATCAGAAGAACAACCAATTAATTTCAAGATTCTCTTTGAAAAGCTGCTCCAAAGATCTACATTTCATGTATAATTCATCAAGCTCATTATTCTCGAGATGTGTTTGCCTATAATGAGCCACTAAAGTGAAGGGACACACGCGGAGAGGGGTGGGTGGGTGGTGGGGTAGTCGGATTTTTCTTCTAAAAAAATATAGCCTGGGATAATATCATATCATCATGTATGTGTTGTGTCCTAACGGTAGCTATGCTTGCTAGGTCATTCATGTGCTACTCCAACTGAACAGGGATGTTTCCTGCACATGCTAGAGGAGTGCCCCGTCCTGAACTGGGGATTTTTCTTTTTGCTCATACTAGAGGAGTGCACGTGCACGTGCACACGTGTTTTGGAACCATTGCTGATTTCCACTTGATGGAGGTTTATATTTTAAACTGGGGTTGTTACGGTTGGAAAACGTTCTTTGGTGTCCCTTTATAGTTGGCATTATGAGGCATCTCAACTTTTTAGGCACGCCAACGTTTTTAAGATTAGTGCTACTTCTTTACTGGTGAATAAGTATTTCATACTCCTCTTTTTTTCTGTTATTCTTTGGGGTGGGGGTGAGGATGAGGGACTGGGTCTTTACATATTCCAAAATCCAAAATAATTCGTTATGGTGCATAATTCTGTTTTTAGCATTTCCATTAACTTTTACATTTTGGGAAGAAAGGCATTTTGAATCATCTTTATTTTATCATTGCTGTTGTAGTTTCTTGACTAGTGATTTTCTGCGTCGTTTTGATTTCTTTCTCTTATATTTCAGTGCCCGCTAAGTTGGTCGAACTTTACTTAGGTCTGAGGAGGTTATCTGAAGAACATGTCCGAGTGAGTAACTATAACTTTTTCCTACCTGTCTACTTGTCAGTGAGTTAGTTGTTTTTGTCAATAAATGCAAAGAGGAGTTACAAAAAATATCAAGGGGTGTAGTATGACCCAGGGTAATTGTCAAAATTGAATGACCAATACTGAGGCTCCAAAGCAACCGTAAGAAAAATAAGCAAAGTATTAGCTCAACTATATACTACATTTAACCTGTTATCATCTTGCCTTCTCTGTTTTTCAATTCTTTTTCTTCATTTCTATTTTTTTTTTTTTTCTTCTTTGTAATCCTAGTAAAATCTTTTTGCTTTGCTATAGGGTTTTACTGAACCAACCTCAGATAAGCTCCTGCCAGATTTGCACCCCATGGAGCAGCATGTCTTTACACTTGTTCTAGACCTAAATGAGACACTGGTATACTCTGATTGGAAGGTAAAGAGGCTACTATGGACAGGTTGCTTCGTTGGTGAAGGCTTTGACTCGAAGATTTAATCTGGCAGTGGCTTGATGTTAACACACGTTTCCTGTGTTTTTTTGAAAAGCGTGAAAGAGGCTGGCGAACATTCAAAAGACCTGGTGTTGATGCCTTTCTGGAGCATCTAGCTCAATTTTATGAAATCATAGTATTTTCTGACCAACTGCCCATGGTAATTTTGATGTCCCCACTCTAGTTTTGTGTGACCAATTTACTCAACTGTGATCTAATTGACAGTAGCTGCCCTTGTTTGGCATGTGCAGTATGTTGACCCTGTTGTTGAGAGAATGGACACAAAGCATGTTGTACGCTATAGGCTATCAAGGGGCGCGACAAGATATGCAGATGGGAAGCATTATAGAGTAAGTTTACCTTAGAATTCACATATCACAAATCAGTTATTCCATCATTTTTTTTTTATTGCTGATAGACATCATGTTAGTAAGATGCAATTCTGGCTGGCAGGACCTCTCAATGCTGAACAGAGAGCCCTCAAGGATTCTCTATGTGAGCGGTCATGCACTAGAAAGTACCCTTCAACAAGAAAATAGTGTACNATTGCTGATAGACATCATGTTAGTAAGATGCAATTCTGGCTGGCAGGACCTCTCAATGCTGAACAGAGATCCCTCAAGGATTCTCTATGTGAGCGGTCATGCACTAGAAAGTACCCTTCAACAAGAAAATAGTGTACCAATAAAGCCATGGACTGGTGAAGCAGATGATACGGCACTTCTGGATCTTATTCCATTTCTTGAATGTAAGCTTCTTTCAACTACCACTGTCTCCTTGACAATTGTATAAGATTAGATCTTTTCACAACTTCCACGTGGATTTGTTGGGATTTACCAGCTATCTAGTTTAAATACAGATGTTGCGCGTCATAGGCCAGCTGATATCCGCCCTGTACTAGCTTCATACCAGGGGCATGATATTGGCAAGGAGTTCATTGAACGCACTAAGGAGCATCAGAGGTAAAGCTTCTTCTCAGATTGTATTTTTGCTTATAGTGAATGGACACGAAAGTAACACTTGCTACACACTTGATCCTAGCATGATTATCCTACAACTCCCAATGAGCAAGTGCTCAGCATCCCAGTTGGAAAATGGGTGGTTAGCTGTGTTGTACTTGTCCAATGAATTAATTATAGCAATATGGACGAAGGTGCAGCTACTACTAAATAGGACCTTAGTAGTGCTATTTTTTTTTTTTTTGTCATTCGAGTATCACTCATAAGCCCTACCGAAGAATCTAGAGATCCATAATACTTAATTCATCAAGAACTCGCATACCTTGGAAGACCTGTTCCTTTCTTACTATATGCACCACCATATCAAGCAGAGTGGAATCGTAAGCTCTCCTTTCACAATCTGTAACTTCAACATGAGATTTGATCCCCACTGCCTCTAGTCATAACAATACTGTCTTCATCAAGGACATGTTAATTGTTTTTATTTTTAAATTGTTGGTTCGAGAACAAGGACATCAACATACTCTGTAACTCGGGGGTTATCCCATGATGAAGGAAAAAAGAGTTCATATATCATCACAGTGAGTGCCTCTATTACGATTCAGAAAACCCGTGGTCTTCATCTGATTTCTTGAACGTCAGCTATATGTATGATATTGCCGCTTCTCAATATACAAGATAAATTATCCCATCGTAACGTCCTATGGAAGGTTTTGAAATATAGCATTGATTCAGATGGCCAGTATTATTCTTCTTTAGGGTTTTGAAATATAGCTTGGCTGACCTTCAATTATCATGATGCAGGCGAATGCAAGAGCAAAAGCAGCAGGGCCGTCTCTGGCGACGCTGAGGCCAGTAAGAGGCCACTAATATTTGGAACTAGTTGAGAGGTATTATGAATTTAAAGTCCTCTTTGAATGAGGGAAGAGACAAATTTAAGAGCCCTAATCAAATTACCTTATGGTCCCGGGCCCCGAAAAGTTCGTGGCATTTGTGTAGTAGGTTATTTTGCCCCTTTTCTAGTATTTTTCCAAATTTTCATAGTACTGAATCATTTGGATTAGGATCTTTTTTAGTATATTTTTTTTTTTGTGGTCTTTTTAATTTAGGTGCAAAGATTTTTGTTGGACGTCGTTGTTGGTATAATGAAAAGAGCCGGTGAAAAAGTCTTCGTCGTCGCCCAGGCGGCACGGGGCATTCATTTTTATTAACGACCTTTTGTCACGGCACGGTCTAAGTCCACGCCTGCTACAACCAAGTGGGACGGAATCCCGTGGTATTGGTAACGACATTTTTTATGTTTCTCGTCGGGAGTAATGCTAGTTGATTTAATTTAATGATACAATGATATGATTTTAATAGAATTATTATATAAATATTAAATTTTAATGTTTGACGAGTCTTACATTCAATTCAAAAATTATAATGAATTAAATTAATAAATTAAATTTTAATAACAGTATTCTATCCGCTGGATAGAAAACGATACCCCACTGTTGTAGGGACCGGTATGGCATAAGCTTCAACCCATTATTTTCAAATAAGTTCAAATGCATATTCCAAAAAATCTATTTATTAATACATATATATATATATATATATATATATATATATATATACGGTTCAAAGTAGGAGAGAGTATTTGAAAGTTGTTTTTATTTATTTTTTTAATTTTTAGACTTTTATTTATTTTAGTTATAGGAAATGATTTTGCACAATCAAAATTGTCTAGGCATCCATATAACTATTTTGTTTTTCATCATTAATGTATATTTAATTACGTATTTGAATTTTTTTAAAATTGCTTGAATTATTATTATTCAATAATCCAATAAATATTATCATTTGGATATCTATAAGGATAATTTTTTATGCATCAAATTTGTGCACCAAAATTTACATCAAGTCAACTATATCAAAAAAAAAAAAAATGGGTCTAATTCTTTATGCACCAATTTTTTTTTTTACTAATTCAAAGAGGACTTAAATTTCACTTTACTCTCACCAATAAACAATAGAATTAATACTAATTAATACTTTACCAAATAAACAATAGAATTAGTATTAATTTCCCTAAAAAACAATAAGCAACTGGTAAATGGGTAAAGTGCAATTAATATTAACTCTTTATGCACAAAAATTGGGACGCTGAGGCCACTTTACCCCTCGCCGTAAAAGTTTAAAGGGAAAATCTCAATGACACTCCCTCTAGTTTATCATATCTTTAAGGACACCCCCTTTAATTTTTAAATCTTCAATGACACCCTTTCTAGTTTAATTTAAACATCACTAACACCCCCTACCATTAAACTATTATTCCTAACAAAATAAATTCATCTAAAATACCAAAAATACCCCTACATAACCTCAAGTAATTTTTTTACATAAAATTTTATTAAAATTTGAGCTATTAAAATTTAAAAAAAAATCATATCGAGCCTATTAATTTTTTTTTTACATATTAAAATTTGAACCGATTTAAACTCTATCCGAGTTGTTATGACCGATTAAAATTCTCTTTCGGGTCGATTATAATTTATATTTTTTCTTATTAAAATTTGTGTCAATTAAAATTAGATTTATTAAAATTTAAGTCAATTAAACTTCATATATTTTTATATATTAAAATTTAGGCTGATTAAAATTCAATGCGAATTAATTAAAATTTTGTTTGAGCCAATTAAAAATAAACAAAATTTTAATTAGCCCAAATTCTAATACGTAAAAAAAATATAATTTTTAATTGACACAAATTTTAATATGTAAAAAATAAATTTTAATTAGCTTGAATCGAATTTTAATCGATTTGAATTTAATTACGTAAAAAAAATTAGAAAACAGAGGGGGTCTCATTGAAAATATACTTATCTAGACAGGGGGCTCATTATAGATATATTTATCTAGAGGGGGTGTGGATGAAGTTTGTCCTCAAATATATCATAGGCCAATTTAGTATAATTGCATTCTACTTAATATTTTTAATCTGACAGGGGGTGTCATCGAAAATTCAAAAATTAGAGGGAGTGTCCTTGAAGATATAATAAACTACAAGGGGTGTGGTTGAAACTTTTCAAAATTTAAACTAGTAACCAAACAAAAGAGAGTAAATTTCACTTTACCCCGTTAAACTATTACCCTTATTTTATTTTGTGCCATCAACTATAAAAATTTTCATATTGTACCTTAAAGTACTAATTTTGTTTCATATAACTCCAATAGATAATAATAAACTTCAAAATCTGTTAAATGAGAAAACTCTGAAGAGCTTTCCGCTTAGTGCCTAATATTACTTTATTTTATCTCTTTTGCAACCACATTGTTGCTGAAAAGAAAAAGAAGGTTAGAAGAAGAAAATTTAGAGTTTAGGCACGACAAAATCATATATATATATATATATATTTTTCTTGATTTTTGACCTTCACATATACAATAAGCAGTTGTTTATTGACAATACAGATCACTCACATGTGCATTTACCATCAAAAATTTGACAATCGTTATCTATTTGAGTGATATGAAAATAAAATTGATATTTTAGTGTACAATATAAGAAAATTTATACTTTATGATATAAATTAAAATAAGGGTAATAGTTTAAGGGGATAAAGTATAATTTACCCAAAAAAGGGAAAATTTCAGCCATATCTCTCCTAATTTACTATATTTTCAAAGACACCACTTCTATTATCAAAAACATCACTAACATTCATTCTAATTTATATTTAAACATTACTAACACCTCTTACCATTAAACTATCAATACTAACAAAAAAAAGTCACCTAAATTCCAAAAATGCCCCTACATAAACCTCAAGTAAAATTTCTACATAAAATTGATTAATATTCGAGACGATTAACATTTATTTTTTTTAACGTATTAAAATTCGAGCCTATTAAAATTTATTTTTTACGTATTAAAATTTGATCTGATTAGAACTCTACCCGAGTTGTTAACGTCAATTAAAATTCACTTTTGAGTCGATTAAAATTTATTTTTTTTACTTATTAAAATTTGAGTTAATTAAAATTTATATTTTTTTATGTATTAAAATTTCGGCTGATTAAAATTCAATGCGAGTTGATTAAAATTTGATTTGAATTGATTAAAAATAATTTTAATTGGTTCAAATAGAATTTTTATTAATCCAAATTTTCATAAAAATATAATTTTTAATCGGATCAAATTTTAGTATGTAAAAAAATAAATTTTAATTTGCTTGAATTGAATTTTAATCGGTCAGAATTTTAATACGTAAAAAAAATTAGAATTCAGAGGGAGTCCCATTGAAGATATACTTATCTAGAGAGGGTGTGGATGAAGTTTGTCCTCAAATATATCAGAAGCATTTAATAAAATTATATTTTAGTTAATATTTTTAATATGACAGGGTCAGTAAAGATTTAAAAAATAGAGTAGGTGTTATTAAAGATATGATAAATTAGAGGGGGCGTAGTTGAAATTTTCCAAAAGACAATAGTACGTACTACTAAACCTCCTAACTTCGTCGTTTTCGTACTCCTTCTTTATCGTTGTCTCTCTGGTCCCTACCTATCTTCTGTCTGTGGAGAGTGTAGTACAAAGAATTCCTAGGAAGCTCAGTCAACACCAAACCCAGAATTAAAAGCCATAGAAATTCCTCAAAATGGCATCACCCACCCCTTGTAATCTCCAACTCCCATGGCTCGCTATCTTCTCTTCCTCACAATCTTCCTCTTCCTCATCCTATCCGCCTCCGCCCACGGCGGTGCCGGCGACCACGACTCCGACTCATCCTCTGATAAACCCAACCTCAGATCTCGAGGGTTGATTTTAGTCAAGATATGGTGTTTGATACTCGTGTTCGTTGGGACTTTTATAGGAGGGATATCGCCCTACTTCCTGAAATGGAACGAGGGCTTTTTGGTAATTGGGACGCAGTTCGCAGGTGGGGTGTTCTTGGGCACGGCTCTGATGCATTTTCTGAGCGATTCGAATGCCACTTTCGGGGATTTGAGTGATAAAGATTACCCATTTGCTTTCATGTTGGCGAGTGCTGGGTATTTGCTCACTATGTTGGCCGATTATGTCATTTCTTTTGTTTATTCAAACCAAAAGAATGGGTCTAGTGACCATCCTGAACTTCAAGGTTGGTGCTTTTGTGATCTTTACACACACACATTGATGCAAATCTTTTGTATAAATTTGGGTATAGATGTTGAGTAGTATACATATACCTGGTTTACAAGTTGCAATTGCTTAAGGCCTTATAAAGCTTGATATTGCTCCCAGTTGAGTGAGTATTTGGTTTTATTTCTCTTTTTCCTTTTGTGTGAGGTTGATGGTGTGTAAGATAAGGTCATAAGTTGCTGAGGTTTACTTTAATTTTTGTATTTTTTGTGGTTTTTTTGGATTGGAGAACTAATAGTAAGCACATAATAGAAATTCTTAGCCCTGTTTGTATGAGCTGGGCCAAGTGATCTTATCTTAATAATTACATAACATATTTTCCCGTTCCTAAATGTTTTATAATTTTTTTTAATGTTTATGAGGTATTGAATGGATTCTGTTAGCTTATCATATTCTGTTGGATGGTGAATTAACTAGCCTCATATTGTCAGTTGGTTGCCATAGAAATAGACATAAGCAAAGTTTTCAATTTATAGTTCTTTTTTCTAGTTTCTGTGATGGAGGACCAAGCGTTTTAGGCTTATGAGAAGCACTAAATGTAGAGGAAAGCATCAATTTCAAATGGAGGAGCGAAGATCTACCATTAGCTGATTTTGTTATAAGAAAGTTTTCAATTTATAGTTCTTTTTTTTTAGTTTCTGTGATGGAGGACCAAGTGTTTTAGGCTTATGAGAAGCACTAAATGTAGAGGAAGGCATCAATTTCAAATGGAGAAGTGAAGATCTACCATTAGCTGATTTTGTTATAAGAAATTGCCTACAGTCTTTGCTCTAACAAGTTTGTTAATATACCTTGAAAATTTGGAATCACTGCAAGTATGTTCTATTTTGATAGAATAATGATGCAAGATTGTTCGATGTTACAAGCTTATTTGTTTTATCTATATTCTCTTTGTGACAGAGGGTGTTGAAAATGGAAAAGGCAGTGTTGCTGGGAGAACTTCACACTCTCAGTTTCAGGTGAGGTATACCTGCAAAATTTTATGGAGTTCTACTTTTGTCCAACTATCAACATTTATGTTTGAGTAGCAAGATCTTCTTGGTTTGTGCAGATTAATTCATACTTACTGAGTGAAGCTAATATTTTAGGAGACAACTTGTGATTTAAAGGTAATTTAACTGAGTGAGCACCTTCTTGCTACCTCAACAGGTCCATAATAGCACGGATGATCACCTGGTGAAAGCACCACTTGCCAGTGCTACTTCACTTGGGGATAGCATCCTGTTGATCACAGCATTGTGTTTCCATTCTGTATTTGAAGGCATTGCTATTGGAGTTGCAGAGACAAAAGCTGATGCTTGGAAAGCTCTCTGGACGGTCTGTCTCCACAAGATATTCGCAGCCATTGCAATGGGAATAGCTCTTCTTAGGATGATTCCAGATCGTCCTCTCTTATCCTGTGCAGCCTATGCTTTTGCATTTGCTATTTCAAGTCCAATTGGAGTTGCAATTGGAATCATAATAGATGCTACAACTCAGGGTGCCGTAGCAGACTGGATTTACGCCATATCAATGGGTTTAGCTTGTGGCGTGTTCATCTATGTGTCCATAAACCATCTGCTTTCCAAGGGTTACACAGCCCAAAAACCGGCATTGCTTGACACTCCCCATTATAAGTTTTTGGCTGTCGTATTGGGCGTCGGGGTGATTGCTGTTGTTATGATCTGGGACACCTGAGGTCAATCAACTGTTTACTGGCCTGGTTCATGCTACAACAATCAGTGCCTGGAGGTATGTTGCTCTGCTTTCTTCTCAAATGGGCACAGAATCGATTTATATCTCAAGCCGCACAGAATAGGACAGCACAATGTACAGCCGCAGGGATCAATAGAACTTTCGTGGGTTTTTCCCCTTAATTCTCTGGTGTAAACCATTATTATTTGGATCATTCTATATTAATTTTGGAGTTTTTGTTCTGAAGCTAGTGTATAAGGTTGTGTTTAGTAACACGTTGTTGTTTCTGTTTTTTTATGTTTTTGTTTTCAATTTTTGCCAAAAAGTAAAATAAAAATGTGTTTCTATTTTTTTGTAGGAACTGGCCCTCTCTCTCTCTCTCTCTCCCCCCTCTTAACTGTATTTTAGTGGTTGGGTGGTGGGTTGGATGGTGGATTTTCAGGGGTGTTGGTGGTGGGTTTTTGGGGATTTTGGCGGTGGGTTTTTGGTTGTTGGATGATGGTGTTTTGGTGGTTGGGTGGTGCATTCAGTTTTCTGAGGGGCAACATATTTGGGATTAAAAAATTAACTAAAACAACCATAATGAATTATGAAAATACTATTATAATACTAAAAGTATTTTTTATTTTTTGTTTTTATAATTTTTTAAATATAAATGACTACTAAACATGTTATGTATTTTTAGTTTTTATTACAAAAAATACAAATATTGTTTCTGTTTTTTTATTTTTTTTGAAAAAATTAAAGCAAAAATGTTACCAAACTCACCGAAATCTCTCTTTTCAAACGAGTAATGGAAGGTTATGGGATTCTAATGATACTGTAGTTTTCCAACGATTATTTCTTCATTCAAAAGCTTCTAAAAAATACATGTCATTATCACATTCAAAAACTATGTAAATAAGAAAGCTTCTATTATTTTCTTGCCAAATGTCAACTTTTTTGCTTTTCAGATGCATTTTTGGTTATTGCACGGGAGATTTCCAGTAATAGATTTGCGATAACGATCTATTCGATAATGAACTTGAAACAACCACAGGGTCAAAAAAGGGGCCTGGTGAATATTCGTCTTTTCCCCTCCGAAACTTAAATCAGTAAGAATTGGAGGCTTCAACACAATATATTTTGTTTCTCAGTTTAGTCTCTCCCATCTATTTATTTTTTTTAAGAGTATTTATACTTAAATTAACAATGAATGCGAAGACCTGAAGTCCCGTCTCAACATTTACTGTCTTGCACTCTTACCTATGCACAATGAGTGTTCTCTATTCAAATCTTCGTGCCTTTAATGCACGGGTGACAGGATAAGTGATCAGGCCCACGCCGAGCATTTATGACTATCCCTGGATACTCAAGTTCCTCTAATCGGCGTCTGACACCTATTTCTTAGTGGTTAATGTTCAAGGAACAGTACCTCGAGGTGTGCTGAAGGTGCATACATTACTACTTTGCAATCATGATTGGGCCTCGAGGGTGCATAGACTTATTTATAACCCTGTCTTAGTTACTCACATCGCCATAAATATGTTGTCAAGTAGTCTTAAATGCTGATATCAGTGCATGTACTCGACTCCTCCAAGCCATTACTCTTCGACCCCTTTTCTCGGCGCCTTTTGACACCCATAACAGCTACATCTTTACACTTGTTGATCTGGGAGCTATTGAGCCGCCTAAAGTCTCGTCAATTATCTACACACAAGACCCACAAATGCCTCAGGCAACAACCGGATGCTGGTAATGGGTAAGTTTATGGTATCGAAAAGTTATTTTTTTGATATCATGTCAGAAANTAAAAAAAAAAAAACAAAAAGAAGTTGGCAGGGTAGTGTATCGGATGGCTAGAATTCACCGGACAATGGGAAGTGTGAAAAGATGGTGAGTATCCACGAATCCTCCGCAAAATCAAAAAATATCAAGTACATATGTACAAGCATGATCAAGGACATCAAAATAGATGGTTATTATTGCAAGAGAACTAGAGAAGATACCACCACAACATCATGGAAACTGCTCCCATGGCACCTACCTTTTCACATTGCTTATAGATTAGTTCACGCCTTTTTCAAATTATTTGGAATCTGCTCCCATGACACCAAAGTAAATAGGCAAACACTTTTACTCCAAAAAGCTATTTAGGCAATAGTCCATATGAAGTTATGAACCCTTATGCAATTGGTTTAAAGTTAAGAATATGGGCATCCATATTCCACCATCTGTACCAATCCACCACTGATGTTCTTGTAGTGGATTTGGATTTATTTTCACAGCCTTGTATGATAGGCATTGTAAAGAAAAATATTCTGAAAAGGTGTATAAGAACCCTTCAGAAAATTGATTTTCCAGCCTTCATGTGTACTAAAGAGAGTAAGGATGATTAATATTATCTTGGAAATTAATTTTGAGATTCATACAAACGTTGAAGTATGAAGTGCTTTGTAGCTGTTAACCCATACCTCATTTGCTTGACCATGGAATAACCAGTTAAATTGGGAAATTGATCATACATAACAGTGCAAGACTCATAGCCAAGAGTCCGTGTATATGCATAGATAAAGAGTTATAAAAGTATCCCCAGTGTATCAGTATGTGAAGAGAGGTTTCCCTTGTAAGTTGTAACAGGAGTGAATAATGACCTAACCCAGCCACAAGAAGACAAGTAGAGTGGTGGGGCATAAAGTTGGTTTAGTTCTTCAATGATATTTCACCTAAACTCAGCCGAATGGTCATTTATTTACCCCAAACAGAAATTTCTCAGATGAAAGTTATATTTTCAGAGAGAGATTGGAGGAACTGGTCAAAATTACCTCCCGAAAGATTTGCTTCACTGATTTCCGGAAAGGAACAACCAAATCTACAGGGTGCTCTTCTGGAGTATCTTGTAAGAAGTCCTCATCATCCTCCTCCATGTTTGAACGAGGCTCCAAAAGAGGCAAATAAAATAATAGGAAAGACCTCAATGATGTCATTGCAAGAGACTTCCAGTGGAAAGCTGAGAATAAAGGTTTTAGCTCGATGTTGTATTCCTTGGTACTGTATTTCAGAGAATCATGCTGAAAGATATTTCCAGATACACTTCGTATATTGGAAATGTAATCTTCATCTAGTGTTGCACCAGCATCACAGTGTGCCACTCGTGTTGCAAAGTTACTGTATCATAAACAATATTTGCTGAAGCCTTTTCAAATAATGGGACACAATATATATGTGGCATAATCCTTAAACAAAATAAAACAAACAAAGAACTAAGTTACTAAGAAAACTATGCTACTATAGAATTCAAAACAGAATTTTACTACTACAAAGACAGAATCAAAACAGAATTTATTCCATTATATAGTACTTAAACACCAAATCCTTCTTAGACTATAACCAAGCTAAAAAAAAACCCATATCAAATCATGCCTCTAAAGATATATCATGTNGTACTTAAACACCAAATCCTTCTTAGACTATATAACCAAGCTAAAAAAAAACCCATATCAAATCATGCCTCTAAAGATATATCATGTCCAACCAAGTAAACAATTTTACATCAAGATCATGTTTAGTGGTATAAAATTCACAAATGTTGCACGTTAATCAATAGGTACCCATAATCCCCTATTCCCATATACAGACACTAGAGTACGTGTGAGAGAGAGAGAGAGAGAGAGAGAGAGAAGGGGGGCTTTACCCGAACAAGGCCCTGGAGGCAAAAGGGTAGGAGGCAGCGGCAGTGGAAGCAGCGAGTGTAGCTGAGAATAGGCCGGAGGAGTGAAGGGTTTGTCCATTCAAGCTCGGATTTTTCCTCAGTAGATCTAATAATATTGCTATTCCAGCCATTCTCAATCTATTTAATCTCTCTTCTATCAGAAATCAAATCAAAGATTCATAAACCAAGCCCCTCCTATATTTTCACAACACTGTCTATAACTCTCTTTCTCCTTCGTCCCTTCAAACCGCAATCTCAAACTGTTACTTTTATAATACTGGCGATATATGTATATGCGTTCATACTGGATACACAGAGACATGCACAGTTTCCATAGGCAACAGACAATGAAATTTTCAATTCAGAAAGAGAGAGAGACAGAGAGAAGGTTGTCCGATTTTGGGAAATTTCGTTATCGACCGTCCTATTGCGAGTGACCAATCGCATTCTGTCGAATTGTTGTGCCAAGGAAACATTGGGTAACGCTATGGGCCCTTGAGTGGGCTTCAATGGGCCTGTGTCAGATATCCAATCTTTTGTTGCATCAAGTGTTTCGGCCCAAAACATAAACACCAAATATACAAATTATTTTTTAATATTGCATCGAATTTAATCACAAAATAAAAATAAATCAACGAGCTTTTTGAATTCAAAAATATATTATCTTAGTGATAGCAAAGGCGTAATTTACACATTGAGCCTCACGATGCAAAAGTTGCGTCAGTGGTCGGCCCCTATGTTTGAGAAATTTGAAATGCCGCCAAGCTAGGCCGCGTCTCATTGTNATTATAATTAAAAATAAATCAACGAGCTTTTTGAATTCAAAAATATATTATCTTAGTGATAGCAAAGGCGTAATTTACACATTGAGCCTCACGATGCAAAAGTTGCGTCAGTGGTCGGCCCCTATGTTTGAGAAATTTGAAATGCCGCCAAGCTAGGCCGCGTCTCATTGTTTTCTCATGAGGCTATCGAATTTATAACTCTCTGCAGACAAATCAATTGCAAGCCTGTTCATTCGCTTTGATTTCTCCGTTTTAAAATCTAGGGTTTTTTGCCTGAGATTTTTAGGGGTAGAAGTTCAGTCCACTAAATGAATTTGGGTGATCTCCATAAGGTATGGGATATCAAATCCCTCAAGAAGGTGGGAGAGGAAGAAGCTCGGAAGATTCTCGACAGGATCGCCAAACAGGTTCAGCCCATCATGCGTAAACGCAAATGGAGGGTCAAACTTCTCTCCGAATTCTGGTAAAATTTTATTTCTTGTTACACATTGTTTGGCTGCCGAGAAATTGAGGGATAACATTACAAAATTCGAGTTTTTTTTTTCATTTTTCCTGCTAAGCAGTCATTTCGTTCCTTTAATTTGGATGCAAACAAATGGGAAACTTTTGCAGTCCTAAGAATCCGGCTCTTCTGGGGTTGAACGTTGGAGGTGGTGTGAATGTAAAGCTGAGGCTTCGAAGGCCAAATAGAGATTGGGATTTCTACCCTTTTGATCAAGTTCTTGATACAATGCTTCACGAGCTCTGCCACAACGTTCATGGTCCTCACAATGCCAATTTCTACAAACTTTGGGACGAAATCAGAAAGGTTTCCTTTTTTCTTTTTTATTTATCTTAAGTGCTTTTTATCTCATCACTATATATGCATATTATTTTCCAATGAATAGAAAAATTAAGCTTTTTCGGTGCCCCTTTGCCAGCATTGAATAATTTCTTATTTGAAATGCTGATTAAATCAGGTAGACTAATAAATAGAAGATTCATAATGCTGATTAGCAAGCTTTTGTTTTTTCGTGGGTTAACTATGCCTATTATTTTCTAGCAAATATGAGACGTAGCCTGCCAACTGCAAACACAAATACCTAAGGCGAAAAAAAAAGAAGATGAGGAGCCCTTTAGGAAGACTATCTTAAATATAATATAATTCTAATAGCCAGGAAACCAACTAAACAGTCCAACCCCAAAAAACTTCAGCTGCTGCCAAATCTTTAGTCGAGGGAATAGATTGCCTGTAAGGTGCCACACTCCCTTCGAAGCCAAATATAGGATCAAGAAAATTTACTTCTGATGTTGAGAATAAGTTCTTTGATGATTGTAGCAACAACTTTGTGCAAGTCCTTAAAAGTTCGATTATTTATCTCTTGTCATATACTATACACAGTAGACAGAGCAACTTTATACACATAAAACTCACCTTGACAGATTATTTAATAAAAATCATCAAGGGCAGTATTTGCTTGGCATATCTACTCAATCCAGTTTTTTTGCAACAAAATATGGTTGTAATAATGAATGACTTTTGACATTTTTGAATCTTTTATTCTTTTTTTGACACGAGCTATGAACCTTAAAACTGACTATTACAAAGTGATGTGAGCAGTGTTGGGAATGAGTATAAATATATCGGTTTTTTTGGTTTTGGTTTCTCATTGCCTCTCTCCCATGTCTGATATGCTCGCTATCAATTACAGGAATGTGAGGATCTAATGACAAATGGGATAACTGGCACAGGGGAAGGGTTTGATCTTCCTGGAAAGCGATTGGGTGGGTTCTCTCGTCAACCTTCTCTTTCCTCTCTTCGCCAAACTGCAGCAGCTGCTGCGGAAAAGAGAGCACGTCTTGGATCTTTGCTACCATCTGGACCTAAACGCCTGGGTGGTGATAGCTCTATTATGGTTGCACTAAGTCCTGTACAAGCGGCTGCAATGGCTGCAGAAAGGAGATTACAAGACGATATCTGGTGTGGTTCTGAGTCTTTNCATCCAACTTCTGTGGACATACAGATGATTTTAACAGGTTTTTTTTTTTCGACTTGATGATTTTGATAGCTATTTAAGTAAACATTCAACCATATCTTGGTTAGAGTAGCTTGTCGCATGCTGCATGTAATCTGTAATTGGAAATGGCATCTCAAGGAGTGCAATATTATTTTACAGCATTTCATTTCACTCTTGTACTCTTCTTTCATATGCTATACCGATTATTGTTTCCTTTTTGCTGTCATCTCCTTGAACTCACTTCAGTGTCTTGCCCGTGAATATCCTGCAGGCATTAGCTCCAATATGCAAGCTTTGCAGCACCCAAAAGCCTAAAGATGTTCAGCACAAGGCCAAAATCTGGTCATGTAAGTTCTGTACTCTGGAAAATAGTGTGAAGCTAGAAAAATGTGCAGCATGTGCACAGTGGAGATATTCAAATGGCACGCCTGTGGCAACCCATGCACCCAATCTTGGCACTTGAGGTAAAGTACAATTGTCTGCTACTAAATTTTTTTGAACTCATTTGTGGAGATCACAATAATACCATACCAGCATGGATGAGGTATCTAATGTTAAATTTGTTCCTATTGGCATTCGCGTGCATATATTTTTTTTTTATATTTGCTCTTTTCAGATTGCAAACAACTAGCTAGAATTTTTTGTTGATCCGTGGGCTTGCGGAACGTGGGTTTAGTTTGTTGAAGAGGCACCCAAATCTGGTTTCATGAAAGAGAACCTGCCATTTCACTTCAAGAATTATTCAAAAGAGCTTTTGATTGAAATATGGGTGAAGTCATGTGTACTATTGAAAAGTAGGCATTTGCTTGAATCCCAAAATACTTATCAAGTTAAAGAAGTTGTGGGTCTTTGTTTTTTGTTGGATGAGTTCCATTGCAATATCGAAATATTATTTTTTTGGTATTGTATTTTTGTATTTTCTCCAATGTAAAGGTTTTATTTTGTTATTTTATCATGTTTTAATAAATAATTGTAAATTATTCAAATTAAAATTAATAATTGTTGAATAATTTCAGCACGGTACCTCGTATTGGAGGCTTTTGTTTTTGAATAAGTAATATATGGGATTTGATGCAAGTCTTTATCATTAAGTTTCTAAATAAAATTTTCAAATAAAGTTTCTACAATATCATTCAAAAAGGACGGGGAGGGAATGAGAAGCGTGTAAATTTTGTGTACTTGTATGTGGTTGTTATTAGTAGTTAAATAAGTCATTTACATTAAGATATGAAGAAAAAAATAGAAGAAAAAGGTTCAAAAAATGATATGATGACACATAATCAATGTAAACACGTTATTGACCCCACAAAAAAAAAATAAAAAAAAAATTTGTGAACACTTTATCATCCAATGGTTTGAAGCTCGAAGAGATCTCACCCCTCCAACATTTTCAACGTCACTTCCATATGGAGAGAGGGAGATATCGTAAGATATTGTCCACCAATTATTGATTCGAATTCAAAAGAAAGTGAATTTTCTCTAAATAATGTGAGGAGTGAGATTTGATTCGATAAGGGTAATTGTTTAGCATAATAGCAAAAGGTGCCATTCTTAGTTAATTTTAAGTGAATACTGTTTTTTTTATGAGTATTACGATCTAAGGGTATTCGAAAATTCACACATACCCTAATTAATTTTTTTTAAAGCGCAGATTCCATGTGCAATATTAGTGACATGGAAAATAGGGTTAGGCACCGAATGAGACCATCCGAAGGCCACAATGAGAGACACGCTGTAAATAGAAGACCGGTCAGGTATGTATTCAATTTCATGCTACCAATATACTAACTTAGAGCAATGACCAATGGTCTTGTCCTCTTTGTGTGATCCATTTTTAATACACAGTAGTATTTTTATATAATTTGTAATTTATTAATATTGATAAATTTGACACAAAATTAAGATGACATTATTATATAAAATTTAATTTTTTAAATTACAATTAGATCAATACTTACAATTATATATATATATATATATTTGTAAGTACGATTAGAGATGTTTAAATTAATTTATGTGAATTTTATTATTTTTTTCTTTGGTAATCTCTAGTTACATTAATCATGCTTGAATAGGACCATGAGATTCATAAACTTCAATATGTAAGAAGATGATTATGATAATTTTACNTTTCAAATAAAGTTTCTACAATATCATTCAAAAAGGACGGGGAGGGAATGAGAAGCGTGTAAATTTTGTGTACTTGTATGTGGTTGTTATTAGTAGTTAAATAAGTCATTTACATTAAGATATGAAGAAAAAAATAGAAGAAAAAGGTTCAAAAAATGATATGATGACACATAATCAATGTAAACACGTTATTGACCCCACAAAAAAAAAATAAAAAAAAAATTTGTGAACACTTTATCATCCAATGGTTTGAAGCTCGAAGAGATCTCACCCCTCCAACATTTTCAACGTCACTTCCATATGGAGAGAGGGAGATATCGTAAGATATTGTCCACCAATTATTGATTCGAATTCAAAAGAAAGTGAATTTTCTCTAAATAATGTGAGGAGTGAGATTTGATTCGATAAGGGTAATTGTTTAGCATAATAGCAAAAGGTGCCATTCTTAGTTAATTTTAAGTGAATACTGTTTTTTTTATGAGTATTACGATCTAAGGGTATTCGAAAATTCACACATACCCTAATTAATTTTTTTTAAAGCGCAGATTCCATGTGCAATATTAGTGACATGGAAAATAGGGTTAGGCACCGAATGAGACCATCCGAAGGCCACAATGAGAGACACGCTGTAAATAGAAGACCGGTCAGGTATGTATTCAATTTCATGCTACCAATATACTAACTTAGAGCAATGACCAATGGTCTTGTCCTCTTTGTGTGATCCATTTTTAATACACAGNAGGTGAATTACATTGACTTTCCTTGAGTTTTGGAAAAATGACATGAAGACTATTGCCATGCCAAAAATAACACAGACAACATAATCCACAAGTGGTTGTGATAGAGATTTCACACCCACCTGAAGAAAATGCTGATATCAGCAACATATGATTATGAAATTCTTATTGGGCGCCATTTTCTTTGTTGATTTTTTGTTGTTGAACTCAGTCAAACAAGGAATATAATTATAGTTTCAGACACAGTTAAAATTATGACTTGGAGTTCCGTGTCCTAGTTCAAACGTACAGGTGTCTCAGTTTTATTCTATATAAAAAAGAGGTGTCTATGTAATTTATGGAGAAATTTTTTTGTCTGAACACCTTTGTACACCACACCTCAATATCAACTGCAAAGAGCAAATGCAGATTTTCTCTAAGGCCAAAATCTTGTTTCACTGTTATAAATGTTTGTCAGTAGTTAAAAAGTACCTCTGTTTAGGATATGTACTGATTTTACAATGTGAACATTGGCTTAATTATCATGTCCTAATTTAGGTCCATTGCTACTCACCAAGGCCATAACGAGGTTGGGGACACAATTTTGAACATCGAAAAATGTGATGAGTTTTAGCATTTCTTAGCTTGGTTTAAGATATTGTGCACAACATCCAACTTCTGTGGACATACAGATGATTTTAACAGGTTTTTTTTTTTCGACTTGATGATTTTGATAGCTATTTAAGTAAACATTCAACCATATCTTGGTTAGAGTAGCTTGTCGCATGCTGCATGTAATCTGTAATTGGAAATGGCATCTCAAGGAGTGCAATATTATTTTACAGCATTTCATTTCACTCTTGTACTCTTCTTTCATATGCTATACCGATTATTGTTTCCTTTTTGCTGTCATCTCCTTGAACTCACTTCAGTGTCTTGCCCGTGAATATCCTGCAGGCATTAGCTCCAATATGCAAGCTTTGCAGCACCCAAAAGCCTAAAGATGTTCAGCACAAGGCCAAAATCTGGTCATGTAAGTTCTGTACTCTGGAAAATAGTGTGAAGCTAGAAAAATGTGCAGCATGTGCACAGTGGAGATATTCAAATGGCACGCCTGTGGCAACCCATGCACCCAATCTTGGCACTTGAGGTAAAGTACAATTGTCTGCTACTAAATTTTTTTGAACTCATTTGTGGAGATCACAATAATACCATATCAGCATGGATGAGGTATCTAATGTTAAATTTGTTCCTATTGGCATTCGCGTGCATATATATTTTTTTTATATTTGCTCTTTTCAGATTGCAAACAACTAGCTAGAATTTTTTGTTGATCTGTGGGCTTGCGGAACGTGGGTTTAGTTTGTTGAAGAGGCACCCAAATCTGGTTTCATGACAGAGAACCTGCCATTTCACTTCAAGAATTATTCAAAAGAGCTTTTGATTGAAATATGGGTGAAGTCATGTGTACTATTGAAAAGTAGGCATTTGCTTGAATCCCAAAATACTTATCAAGTTAAAGAAGTTGTGGGTCTTTGTTTTTTGTTGGATGAGTTCCATTGCAATATCGAAATATTATTTTTTTGGTATTGTATTTTTGTATTTTCTCCAATATAAAGGTTTTATTTTGTTATTTTATCATGTTTTAATAAATAATTGTAAATTATTCAAATTAAAATTAATAATTGTTGAATAATTTCAGCACGGTACCTCGTATTGGAGGCTTTTGTTTTTGAATAAGTAATATATGGGATTTGATGCAAGTCTTTATCATTAAGTTTCTAAATAAAATTTTCAAATAAAGTTTCTAGAGTATCATTCAAAAAGGACGGGGAGGGAATGAGAAGCGTGTAAATTTTGTATATTTGTATGTGGTTGTTATTAGTAGTTAAATAAGTCATTTACATTAAGATATGAAGAAAAAAATAGAAGCAAAAGGTTCATAAAATGATATGATGACACCATAATCAATGTAAACACGTTATTGACCCCACAAAAAAAAATAAAAAAAAAATTTGTAAACACGTTATCATCCAATGGTTTGAAGCTCGAAGAGATCTCACCCCTCCAACATTTTCAACGTCACTTCCATATGGAGAGAGGGAGATATCGTAAGATACTGTTCACCAATTATTGATTCGAATTCAAAAGAAAGTGAATTTTCTCTAAATAATGTGAGGAGTGAGATTTGATTCGATAAGGGTAATTGTTTAGCATAATAGCAAAAGGTGCCATTCTTAGTTAATTTTAAGTGAATACTGTTTTTTTATGAGTATTACGATCTAAGGGTATTCGAAAATTCACACATACCCTAATTAATTTTTTTTAAAGCGCAGATTCCATGTGCAATATTAGTGACATGGAAAATAGGGTTAGGCACCGAATGAGACCATCCGAAGGCCCCAATGAGAGACACGCTGTAAGTAGAAGACCGGTCAGGTATGTATTCAATTTCATGCTACCAATATACTAACTTAGAGCAATGACCAATGGCCTTGTCCTCTTTGTGTGATCCATTTTTAATACACAATAGTATTTTTATATAATTGGTAATTTATTAATATTGATAAATTTGACACAAAATTAAGATGACATTATTATATAGAATTTAATTTTTTAAATTACAATTAGATCAATACTTACAATTTTATATATATATATATATATATTTGTAAGTACGATTAGAGGTGTTTAAATTAATTTATGTGAATTTTATTATTTTTTTCTTTGGTAATCTCTAGTTACATTAATCATGCTTGAATAGGACCATGAGATTCATAAACTTCAATATGTAAGAAGATGATTATGATAATTTTACTCCCCGCCCACCGGTCTCGTGCTCTTCTCTCTCATCATCACTTGCAGCAATCTCACCCACAAGCTGTATGGGATGTGAAGTTACAAGGCTATGCAGCTCTCGCGTTTGCCATGTTTGCTGCCTCCGTCGCGTGCCCATCTCCTCCTTCTCCTCTAAATCATCTCCCCTACTCTCTCTCTCTCTCGTACACGCTCACAGGCAAACGAACCAACAGAGCACTAACACCTCCATCTTCAGGTCCCTTCACTCCAAATACTTTCGCGGACTCTACTCTCTAGGCTTAGTCATCTTTCTATTATTCTAAACATAGATGCCCATTGTAAATTCTTTGATGATTTTGTCTGCTTATTTTGTTGAATTTTAAACATTTCATACGTTTCTGTGCCTCAGTTTTGTAAAAGACTGTTGCTTTTCTCAGGAAATTTTAGACAAGTGGAGTTATGTTGATGAATAACTGAAAAATTGTGGGTTTTTCTTTGAATTGCTGCAAGATTACTGTATATTAGGCAATTGAAGTAAGTGGACCCATTTAACCATTTTTTTTGGCGCATCTTCATCTCTATGAATTAGGGTTTCTATTAACGTTCGGATGAACTTTCGCCATTTTTTTGGGTGCATCTTCAGCTTTCTGAATTGGGGTTTCTTTTAATGTTCGGATGAAGAGCCTTTTGCCATTTTTTGGGTGTATCTTCAGCTCTGTGAATTAGGGTTTATTTTAGGGTTCTGATGAGTTGTTAACTCTACTTGTTTAAAAAAAAATTTCTTATCAAAATATGGCTGCAAGTGATCGCTGTTTTGTGGAGTGGAAAGAGCAATTTGTTTCAAAGGAGCGTGGCAAGCGTGTGGTGCACTATTTGTTAAAGGATGTTTCGGGGCAATCCATTCTTGCTGTTTTGGGCACCGAGAGAAGTCTTAGGCACATGCTCTATGTTGTTTCTGAGGAGTTCTTGAATGTTCATGGGTCTGAGAATTCGATCCATGCTGGCTCCAGATGGAGATCAAGGAGAGAGGTTGTGAATTGGCTAACATCAATCTTATCAAAGCAGCAAGGGCAAGGCGGTTATGTTGGTTTGTTTTGCTGATTTTGTTTCCTTTTATCCCTTTATTGTATTGCCGTTGCCAGGATGTGAAATTACCTTTAACTTCCTGTAGAGTGGCTCTGAATTTATATTAAACTAAAGTCTCATACAAAATTTATACTGCAATGATACAATTTAATAATATCTATTTATTCATGTGGAAATCTAGGACTAGACCACATCTTTTTAAATTTTTTGCTAGCTTTCACATTTCTTTTATCAAATCTTACCGATGAAAACTTGGTTTGCTGCTTGTCATGTACTGTGCAGTCCCATTCTAGTGTTCTCTTTCCTATTTTGAAGAATGCAATGGGGCAGCTCCAAGTTGGTCCATTGGTGTTCAAACCTTGTAGATCGAATTACTTGTGACCAGCTGTCTCTTGTCATCCATTTGGCCATGATATTATGAAACTATAGCATTGTCCTAAATCCAAACATGAACAAGCTTCCTATGTTTGAAACATTGAATCACTTCATCTACTGAGAACGATGGACATTCAACTTCTGGTTACCAAATATCATACCTTGTAAAAAATATAAAACCTATCAGCCTATGTTCTGAATACTTTCTTTAATAATTATACCAAAATATATTATTGCTTAGCATCCCTTCTTAGGAAATGCCAATCTTCTATATGTATACTATCATCATCGGGTTATGAAGATCTCTTGTCACCCTCCATCTCTCCGTGTTGAAATTCTTCATTTGAACTCCGCCCAGAGTATACTTCATCCTGTCCATTAATCTTTCTTAGCTTTCAACTAGCGATCAACCCGTGGAATGTATGATCCATCATATTTTTTCCATTTTCCTTTCTCATTATTTCCAGTCAATCTTACCAAACTATTTGTGATAAACAATTACGAAAAGATATAGTGTAATAAAAGTAATTTTATAAATGCTTAAATAAATGGTAGTTACTTTGTGGAAGTTGAGGGTGGTTATTTTGGACACATGGTAGAATATAATTGGTTCATTCCTATTTAATAATTCAAAACTCCAGAAATATAGAAAAGAGGGAGGGAAAACTTTTTAAGGACTGCTTCTTTTAGGATATAGAAACATGGCATTCCTCATGTTTTTCATGGCTTAAAAGTTTCATTATTAGAGTGTGGCCTTTTAATTGTGAACCAAACTTGTAGTAGTTGTGAATCATCTGACAGTCTAGAAATTATGATTGCTACCTAGCTGTTGACTGCCAGAAGAAAGGCAACTGTGGGGGCATTGCCTAACTGCTTGTTGAAATCCAAATCTTGGGAAGTTTGCATTCTATTTGACTATTTTTCCTTCAGTCACATTTGCTGATAATTATTACTTGGTGATATATCTTGATCCACCTTTTAAAATTAGCAGGATTCTTGTGTGGTAGTATCCTTGAATGGTGTTGTGTTAGATTAAGTGAAAAACCTTTCTATGTGAAGCATTACTAGTTCTTAACTTCATATGAAATGTAAAATGGTATTGATTTTCCGATGGTAGCAATTGCTGCTTATAAGTGATTTAAAGAGTTATTATAGCTAAAAGTCAAAAAGGTTTCTAAATCAACAATCATTATTACCTTAAAAAATATTGTGCAATTACCACCGTTCGTGTGTACAAAGTTGTGCATGCTAGCACCCACTTAAAAACACATGAAGAATATAAGATCTGTTGTATTTTTTTTTTATATTGAAAATTGAGATATAAGAGGGCAATATAGTAAATTAAAGACAGTAATTTAAAAACAGTAATTCTAAGCTAGTCTATGGGGCATGCATCCAACTCTACTTGATTCTTTGTTGAGTTTGGCAGTTGGTCAGATTGCAATGTACCAGTATAGCCCATTGCAAGGCCCCATCTTGCTAGGTCATGCGCTGCACCATTTGCAGTCCTGCGTGTATGACCAAATTCCCACTCTGGATGTTGATGAAGAATGTCCTTAATATCTTATATGATCGAGCTCACAGACCAGTGAGGTTTGAGATGAGAAAGCATGATAGACTGAACAACGTTCTGTGAGTCTCCTTCTATGAGCACATAAGACCAATTCTTATCATTAGCCCATTTCACTGCTTGCCTTGCAGCTAGAGCCTCTGCTATCAGGGGGTCTGTTTCTGCCACAATCCCTAGCATACTTCCTAAAACTGAGCCATCTTGTAGTCGAGCAATTGCTGCAACACATGATTCCCTGTTTCCCACTGCTGCATCTATATTAATCTTTATAAATCCTTTGTGTGGAGTTTTCCAAGTTTCTGATGGGCTCATGGTTGCTGGGCCCTTTGGATGGAGTTTAGCCTCACTGAATTCATTAAAAGCATTCCGAACTTGTTGAAGAAATTGCTGTGGAATGACTAACTGCTTGTCGTGGAGAGCTTTATTCCTCCAAGTCCAGATACTGCAGGCTAAAATAGCTGTGAAGAGCAGCAGTTCATTGCAAGGGGGGCTATTATGTCCAAAAAGGATTGTAGGATAGAGAATTTTTTGAATCCATTCTTGTAGACTAAGATGGAGAATGTTGTATTGTTTTGATCTTTGTTGTGTAATGCTTATTTGTTTTAATTTCATGTTTATTGCCGAATTAGAATCTTGAAGAATTTGCTTTGGTCATTCCTCATTCAATTTCTCCTGATGCAGTTTTTGTTATGTTTTCTGTTTTTTTTTAAAGTTTATTTTCCAAGACCCTGGTTGCTCATTCTGGTGATGACATTTGATTCCAGAATAGCGTTTGTTGACACATTTGCAAGGCTTGAGACATACTTGTTTTATACTTCCATCTTTTGGCAATCTTTTCAGTAATGGATTGCCTTTTGGCCCATGGATGAGAATTTTCTACATTCAAGAATACAACATCACTTTCATCAGTTAACATAGTTCACCATTTCTAATGACAGAATTGCCAAAAGATGATCCCTTGTCTAGTGTCGGTGATCAACAAACCTACATGCAAGATTACAAGGTATACCATTTCTTTTGTCTTCAAGTTAATTATTTATTGAACTGTCCTTCTGACACTTGCATATCAGTGTCATCTCGCAAGGAACTTGAAAGGGCACACTTCGGACATTGTTTGGTCTGGTGTAGCATGGTCCTGCAGCAAAGAGCTCAAGCACTACCCAGCATTTTGCAGGAATGGGATTACTATAGTGGTAAGCATCCACCGGTATTTCAAAAGAAAGGCCTGAGGTGGCTCATTTGCACGGTAGATGATTAAGGTGTAAGGCATGGGACTACTTTTAGGTTTCATGCATAATAAGTCATAAAACCTAACATATGGGTGATGTAGATTCTACAGATAAGAGAAAAAGATGATGTTTTGTTTTTCTTTTTTAGTCCCCTCGAACATTGAATGTTCTTCCAGTTTTGAGAGATATGACATGTCTCATAGTTAGGTGAGCCTTACCAATGGGCCTTTGGTTCAATGGTACTTTATTGTCTTGTAAAGGCTCTGCCTTCTTGGGGTCAAAGGTTCAAGTCTCCCCCCCTCCCCCCCCCTCCCCTCCCAAAAAAAAAAATAGTTAGGTGAGCCTTAGAGCTCGGGCATTCAACTAAGTGCTGAACTTTCCGTCATGAATGTGGAGATTTAAATTAGTACAGTGCACCAAAACTTGCCACTGTAGAATTGCCTTCATTTTTGCCTCAAATAGTATATCACATTACATTTTCCTTTTGAAGTGTCTAATAAATCTTCTTGTATATTTATTTGTTAAAGATATTTTGTGAATCTAAGTTCCTTTTTCTCACTGATATCCAGATACACTCATTTGTCTTTGTCATGGCTGAAAACGAGAGCCGCTACATTGCGTATCTGGAAGACATGTATGAAGACAGGAAGGCCCAAAAAAAGGTCAAAGTGAGATGGTTTCACCATAATCAAGAAGTCAAGGGTGTTACTACTCTACGGAATCCTCACCCCAAAGAAGTTTTCATTACACCCCATGCACAGGTCATCAGTGCGGAGTGTGTTGATGGTCCTGCCATTGTCTTAACTCGTGAACATTATGAGAAATGTGTAGCTGTTTTCCCACATGATTTGTTAACCAGAATGCATTTTTGCTTTAGACAATTTAAAAGCAATCGAGTGAAACCTTTCAAAATGAGTAAGTTGCGTGGCTATCTGGATCAACCAATTTTCTCATGTTTTGGCCGTGATTTCTTTGAAGATGAAGAGTTTAGCCCTGGGGATGATGTAAAACTTGGGGCTAAGAGGACCAGGAGTTGTAAAGGGCGTCAGATGTTGACAGCTGAACCATCACACCAGAATCTGAAGTATAATTTACTGAATAGGAGATTGATCTCCCGCAAGCATTTTGAACAACCGTCTTGGAGTTCCCCTCTTTTCAAGGTTAGTGAAAAGATGAGTTGTTGTGCCAAGATAGTGGCATCCGAGGCTGCTGGTTCAGGTGTACAGTCTTGCATGTTTCGCGGAGACAGATAAAAGTCCAGTATGATGATGTGAAAGATGAAGATGGATGCGGTAATCTTGAGGTATGCCTAGGCTCTTGACAATTTCTTTTAGAATATCTTTCGGCATGAGATAATGTACTGTACTCTGAAATTAGTCGCCATAAGCAATTAAAGCTTTCCTTCATGGTCTTAGTCTTCAGTATCATTTACCAAAAAAATTCAAATTGTGTTAATTATAAGTTTTTTTATCTAGGCTTGAATCTTAAGAAAAAATTGAAGTGAAGGTGTATGATGTTTTAAGCTCATATTACTGTTCTTGTCATTGTTTTTTCATATACCTATTTACTGACAACAAAAAATTTTGCTGGAAATTAGCCAATTTAATATGAAATGTCATTACTGATTGGCAATATCTATTATTACTCAAAGATAAAAGGATTTGGTGTCGATTCCATATGAAATATCCATTATATCCCAATTTTCTTTCATCATAATCATCCATAACTCCATCTCAAACTGCACTCAACAGCCTATAGCCACCGTCTTGGTCTTTTTCCAATCCCATAGCCCCATCTCTCTCTCTCTCTCTCTCTCTCTCTCTCTCTCTCTCCTTGTATTACTTCTTTGCAGTCATGCACGAGGGTGGTCGTGTTCAAGACCTTCTAGTCTAGATCATGGGGATCGAGTTGTCATCTTAAAAGAAAACAAAAGGAAAAAAGCAAGTTTGTTGACATTTTCTATTTATAGGAATGGATCCCGACTTTCAAACTGGCCATACCAGATAAACTTGGAATGAGATACTCAGGCCGCCCTACAATGAGACCTGCCCTTGCTCACAATCAATCCAGTTTTGATTTTGAGGTTGGAGCTCCAGTGGATGTGTGGTGGAGTGACGGCTGGTGGGAAGGGTTTGTAACTGGCTTTGGCAACTCCGGAAAAGAAAGTCATCAAGTTTACATTCCCAGTATGTTTTCTTTGGATTTGTGTGGCTACTCCGAGCTCTTCTTTTACAATTTTTTTTTTCCTTTTTTACTGGTCTCTCTTATAATCTCAGTTCCCTCTTTCCTAATGGAATCCTTTTTCGGTGATATCAGGTGAAAATTTATCTCTTAATGTAGACAGAGAAAACCTAAGAAAATCAAGAGAGTGGGTGGGAGACCAGTGGGTGGATATAGAGGCAAATCCTGATGTTCTGTCAGCCTTATCTACAGATATCAGCGCTGACACTAAGTTTTCTGCATCCTTGACAATTAAAGAGGCGGCCAAATCTGATGATTTGCCCATGTCATGTAAAGAAGTTCCCACCAACATCAAAATCGATGTTGAAGAGGACATGCTTGAATTACCTGGCTTGGCATTGTCTGATGGCCTTTTGAAGAATATGAACTTGGACAACAATAAGCAGCAGTTGATTGAGGATGGCGATAAGGAAAATGATGGTAATCATGTCGATGGCAGCAATGAGGATGACAATGCTGACTATCATCTTGGTGACAACAACAGTGTTGATGATTCTCGTCATAATGAAGCTATCAACAACGAATATGTTGATAAAGATGACAATAGGGACCAGTTAGAGGAGCTTGTGACTGCTGGCCAGAAATGTGAAGCAGAACTAGTGGAAGTGGGGGGTATAAAATGTTTATCCGAAGTATGCAGTGGCGGTGATTTGTAGCAGAAGTTTATTGTTAGAACAATTGTATATAAAGACAGGGAGGTGTTTAACATTATATCATAATTTTCATTCGACTTGGTGACCGTACGTGTACAGCAACAAGGTTCGGCCAAAACCAGTGCCTCACTGAGTTTTCAGAAAATATATGTTGGAGAGTTTCCATATGAGCACGAAGGACTGGAAGATGTATTACAGTACGAGAGGACATGTTCACCGGTCCTTTTTTCTGACAGCAACCAAAAAAAACGAAGGTAGATTTCTGATTTTCCTGATTGATCCGTTATGAGATTGATTTTCTCAAAGATCAAGGAAGTGGAATTTCAACTGGAANCCAGTGCCTCACTGAGTTTTCAGAAAATATATGTTGGAGAGTTTCCATATGAGCATGAAGGACTGGAAGATGTATTACAGTACGAGAGGACATGTTCACCGGTCCTTTTTTCTGACAGCAACCAAAAAAAACAAAGGTAGATTTCTGATTTTCCTGATTGATCCGTTATGAGATTGATTTTCTCAAAGATCAAGGAAGTGGAATTTCAACTGGAAAATACCAGGAAGCAACTCAACAAGCCAGCAACTGTTCAAACTCAAAGCCCTCTAGTGATTTGGATCTCATCCGATGCTGCTGCTTTCTAACTTGACTTATGATACTGTATTTGCCTACAGCACTTGTATTGTTATGAGCCCTCTGTTATACATGTCATCATGATTACTACTTGCTGTTTTTGTTTTCACTGTTAAGGAAAGTAAATATATGTTTTTTGCATTGCCCACAGTAAAAATTACAAAAGAAAAGAAAAACAGGACAACGANACACTTGTATTGTTATGAGGCCTCTGTTGTACATGTCATCATGATTACTGCTTGCTGTTTTTGTTTTCACTGTTAAGGAAAGTAAATATATGTTTTTTGCATTGCCCACAGTAAAAATTACAAAAGAAAAGAAAAACAGGACAACGATGANAAAAAATCTCTCTCCTTCCTATGTATTAACACTTCTTAAATGAGAAGAAAAGAAGAAAGAAATGCCCAAAATTGNTCTCTCTCCTGCCTATGTATTAACACTTCTTAAATGAGAAGAAAAGAAGAAAGAAATGCCCAAAATTGCAATGCCGGTTAAGTGCCTGACCTGATCACCTCCTACCTGTATACACCATGCGTTTGCTTGCAGAAGTGGGAACACATGAAAATTAGATTACAGGCTAAGCCATTGCTCTCCATCTATGTATTTCGTATCCAGAAAAGGCCTCGCTTCATCGTCACTCAAAGACTTGGACCATTGCACTCGCCATCTTCTATTGGCTCCACGGCCTTTGCACTGATATTCACCAAACACCGCAGTCCTACAGATACAAAAATAAAAAGATATATGTGTAAGTTTTCGATTGCTATAACATTTTTGTCGAATCAAAATTGAAGATTAGAATGTGAATACTTTTGCCTAGATGGGTCGTTCCAATCGCTCCATCCCTTTGGAGTGATCATATTGTGAATGTTACAGTATGAATAAATCGCTCGAGAATATTGTCCCCAAGCTCTTCCCAAGTATATAAAACCAGTTCCTTCAATTTCACAATTCACAAAAGAGAACCCAGTATCATCATCTAGCGTATTCCTGTGATGAGCAGCAATTGCTCCAGAACTTTTGGCTATTGAATGAATAACACAATCCTGTTATAAGACACCGAATTTAAAGTGAAAAAGGACTTTAGAAAGGAGAACAACTAAGTGTATATGAATGACGAAGACTTGGTTTAATTTAGTTAGAAAATAGAACAACTGCTATTTGAACCATTGAAAAAACTTGGGATCATACCTGATAGAGGGACTTTGAATGGCCGAATATGAAATCAATAGATCCTTGGATGTAACACTGATAGAAATAATGTAATCCAAAATCATCAAAGAGTGTGTCCTGTGTTCCCAAGAACCTAACTTTATAGAACATGGCTCTATCACTGGATATTCTCAATGCCACAGCTTGCCTGCCTAAAACTCCAGGCTCTGTAGTTATTGAATTCTGAAATGGGCACAATGAGTAGCATGCATTTCCACAGAAAAAAGTGCACAGCACACACATTATATAAACCAGTGAATATGATTAGGGGTTGTAAGCCAGTCATGTTGTCTGTTATCTTGGATTCGTGCTGAATATTAGTCTATCTAATTCATTTATCAATCTTTGTGAATAAGATGTGAACCAAAAATCTAACAATCAAATCCGTTTTTATCTCTACCAACTATAACATTCATAGGCTCAGCATAAACTAAAAATCCGAGCTTTTACCCAAACCCAACCGATTTTGGAAACTTATACAAAAAATTGAGTGGTTTTGAAAATAATTTTCAAACCCAGATAGATTTAAATACAAAAAATTGAGTGGTTTTGAAAATAATTCTCAAACCCAGATAGATTTAAACATGTCAGTCCAACTGACCTTTATATATTTTTGTGAACTTCAAAAAAAGTCATTAGATTAAACTACTTGATTTTGAGAATTGCTTTCAAAGTCATTCGATTTTGGGTATAAGTTTGGGAAGGGGGCCGATTTAGGTAAAAGCTCCTAAAAATCCACTTGATGTTTATGCTAGCATAAACAAGTAAAAAAGTATCTAAAGATTTTTATAATATCCGATGAAAGAAAAAAGGGTTATTGTGTCAAAATTGGATTATTCATGGGTGACACTAACTTGACTAATCTATTATTGATAAAAAGGGATCGTGTTATCTTCGAATACCATGTTAATGTTTTATGTCCGAGAATTGCATTCTAAATAAACGGTTAATTATTACCTCAAAAGTGATGCCACTGGCGCAGAAGTAATCGGATTCAACAGTGACAGAGGCTGATCCGGAGGTCCCTAGCTCTTGCCCATCTTCATCTTTATCAGAGGCTTTGTTGTTCCATGAAATAACAGTTTCAGACGTATGATTCGGATTTCCAATGAGTGAAATGTAGGGCTTGGAGGCTGGAATGTACACTTTTTCTCTGCATAGTAATTTAATTAATAGCATGTAATAAATAGTAAATACAAATTAGAAAAATTATTGAAGTGCCTTGTATAGAGTAGAAATTTATCTGAATGAACACATCACAGGGCATGTTTGACTTTTACTTTAATGGCCAGTTTTTTTTTTTTTTTTTAAATAATCACTTATCTTTTGAATTTGAATAGTGAATAATAATATTTTTAAAATACCAAGATAAATATCCGACTATATCTAATGCGTATCTATTGGTATCCAACTATATCAAATAAGTATTTATTTGTATCTGTTGGGCACGAGTTTTCAGCCCCAAAGACACACCTAATAGGTGGAGTGATCCGCTCCTTTATATGTCTCAGGACTCTCTTGTCAACAATCGAAATGAGACTCGTTTGACACCTCAAAATTCCTTCTCGCAAATGAGGTTGGATGACCTTCGATGTTCTCTTATCGAGCTCAAGGACCTGAGTCCACACGATGGCTTTAGCCATGACTTCGATACCACTTGTTAGACATAGATTTTCAGCTCAAAAGGTGCACCTAAATAGGTGGAGTGACCCGTTCACTTATGTGACTAAAGTCCTATTCGTCGTCAATCAATGTAAAACTCGTTTCACACCCCAATAATACTCAAGATATGTTTGTACATAATATATATCAAGTACGAACACTAATACAAAGTAAATTAGAAAAAACAAACTACCATAGTATGGGGAGACTTGTGAATAAGGACAAAAGAATATTTCTACAGCATTAAAAAATTGTGATTCAACCATATCAAAATACAACTCAAACAAGTCAAATTACAATTTAATAGGTTGTCCATTTAGAATTCATAAAACATATAAATAAACAAATAAATAAAAATCAATAATAATTTTAACTTTTAATGTCAAATGCAAAACATCTTGGGATTAATATCAGAATTGACGAATTTTATTGAGGGCTCATAAATACTATAATTTCGACGTAAATTACCTGCCTTTGATAAGATTGGGAAAAATATTAGTCAAAATGTGCGTAAATTGATCCGGACACTCTAACCGTAAAATAATAAAATATTAAAAAAAATCCCATTGTGTAAAAAGTTTAACCTTATTTAATTATCATTTTATCTCATTCCATCGTCAATTTTTTTTTTTTGCAGGGTAGAGAAGTGAGGTGAATTTTGTTGTACAAAAACATTAGCCATGTAAAGATTCACAGCCAGGAGCATTGTAGAGAGAGAGAGAGAGAGAGAGAGAGAGAGAGAGAGAGGGAGAGAGGGAGAGAGAGACCACTAACAAACAATGTAACTTCCTTTTGACACCCACGTCCTCACTTTAGAATATACTCAACTCAACTGCAAAACATGAAATATAAAACTTCTGCCTTCTGGGCTTCCGAGTCTGAGATTGACACAAAGAAGCAATCTGACCAAATCTTCATGTCCAAACATTAAAACAGATAAAACCTAGTCTTGGAGAGAATCATAAGTCTCTCTATACAAATATTGGTGTGTTTTGATCATATATGCAATTCTATATGCATGTACCTGTAAATTCCAGGAAGAAGGTAAATCTTCACTCTCTCTACGTTGTTTGGGGGAACCATATCAACAGCACCTTGAACTGTAACAGAATCTCCTCCACCATTCTTATCCACCACAATGACCCTGCTTCGATTACGGCCGCCTCGATATTCCAAACTCACTGTATACTCATCCACCCTCATATCAGCCCACGTAATAACGTGCTGCGCTTCGCCGGTGTCCGCAAAACCGCCATGAATGCCACCCAAAAACAGTACCGCAGCACAGACGACACAGAGACAAAGAAGAGTGCAATTCATGGCTTCCTGTCAACAATATGCTGTTTTTTGCTTCGTAGAATGTGGCTGAAATTGCAAGTTAATTAGAAGAATTGGAAGGCCATGAGAAAGATGTGAAGGTTATAAATATAGGAGCGTGGGTGGGTTTTAGTGCCTCATTGTAGTCCTTATTGAACTTAATTGACGTTTATTCTTTAGTATTGAAGTATAAGTACAAGTTTCCTTAAAGGAGTAGAAGAAGAATAGAAAAGTGGGCTCAGTTTAGACATTAAAGAAGTGAGAGAGAGAGAGAGAGAGAAAGCAAAGGGTCTGTGAATAGATTTAAGTCATGAAGATCTTGTTAATGGCGGTGTTTGATTAATTAAGAATATGAAATTATGCAGGTGAAGGAGAAGAAGAAAGGTGGTTTGTTATGGAGTAGTTACTGAACTCCAAGAGGCTTATAACAGTTTATATGTTTCCTTAGCTGATAGTGTAACTCCCTCTTTATTTAAGACCACTATCCTCTAGGTCCCGATAATTTAGGGTATTTAAAAACCAACGAGTTTAACTCAACTGAGTAAATCAAGGAGACTGGTGAAGTGCAAGGGTCTATTTAGTTAACAATAAAAAGGGTGATGGAAAGCGAAGTGAAAAATAGTTCAATCTAAACATCTTGAATTTAAAATTTGATAATTTTTTGGAGTTTGANCAATAAAAAGGGTGATGGAAAGTGAAGTGAAAAATAGTTCAATCTAAACATCTTGAATTTAAAATTTGATAATTTTTTGGAGTTTGATTATGAAGGATTTATCCGTCATAAATATCTTAATTTCGGCGTGGATGTTCTGTTTTTTATCGGACTGGAAAGAGAATTAGCCAAGATACTCATAAGCTGACTCAGACACACCTAATTGTTAAACAAAAAAAAAATACAAATATTTTTGATAGAGTGTTTTTTGTTGGACAAATATACTCTTATGAGTAAGCCCTCCTAAATTGAAAGGATTGAATTGAAACTGGATTAAAATTTTAAAGACGTAATTGTTTAAATTAAAATTTTAGAAACTAAATAAAAAATATGTACATACTGTGAGAGTATAAATTACAAATTACTCAAAAATAAAAGAACAAGGCAAGACAAAGGAGAAAGAAGGTATGGAAGCCTAAACACTAAGCCATACACTGAGGCCTAACCTAAGTAAAATGGACAAGCATTAAGCCGTGCAATGAGGCCTTACTTAACTAAAATGGACAAACATTAACAGCATCTCCAAGAGAGGTGATAAAATACATAAATTTTTTCAAAATTTAGTTATTTTATTTTAAAATTCTACTCCAATAGAATATCTGCATATCATCTAAAATAATATTTTATTATAGTTACTATTTAGAGTATCATTGTAGCAACATGTATAAATATTTTATTATATTTTCTCTCTCATCATTTCCTTTCCTCCATTCTCTCTCTCACTACTCTCACAGAAAAATAATACAAAAAGAATGAAAAAAAATATTTGAAACAAATATTAAAAATATAAAAAATCTGTTAGAATGTGTATTAAAAAAGTGAATAACTAAAATAAAAAATATTGTTTATTGGGTAGTTAAACTAACTTTTATTATTGAATATACTCTGCCTTTTAGAATGAGACCCAAATAAAATAGGTAAGGATTTCATAGGCTTCAGCACCTAACCAGGCCCACTAATCATCATGGGGTCGATCTCTCTTGGTCTGACCATCCCATATAATTAGTCCGTTGAGAGACCATTATGGGCCAGTCCAACCTGCCCATGAGTGTAGGGCGGTGCCCAACATGTTCCAATTTGTTTCGGCCCAGATGGGAATTCTGAGCCCACCATCTCTATCAAAACCAAACTTTCAATTCTCACTTCTAAACCCTTTAAACCCCTTCGACCGTCGCCTTCTACCTTTATTGATGTTCCCAGCAAATTAATGGGAAGTTTAACTTCATTATTCTGGTGAATGAAGTGATTCTCTTTGCAATATTGAGGAACATAAGTAATTTTGGAGGGCATCTTTAATGGACTGGTTATATAGTTGAGACTTCAAGTTGTTTGGCTTGATTGTTCCTTTTACTATGGCCCCATTGCATATTGCAACATGAACGCTTTAAGCACGGGGAGAAATTTCCTGTTATATNTGTGTGGAGAGTCAGTGTGAGAACTACTTCAAGTTGTTTGGCTTGATTGTTCCTTTTACTATGGTCCCATTGCATATTGCAACATGAACGCTTTAAGCACGGGGAGAAATTTCCTGTTATATATGCGGATATATAATATCAGTCGGAGAATGTAAGTTGTTGAATGGTTTGAGAACTTAGTTGTTCTGTGGTTTAAGTGCATTTGATGGTAGTGAGTGATATAGCTCTTGTTCATTTTCGTTTCATTAAATTGGAAATTATTGCAGCTAGTTCAGTTATCATCTCTGTATCTCTACCCTATTATGAGGTACTACTTTGTCTCCATTGCTGGCTGATTTGGCTCCTATATCTGAACAGTAGTGATTCGTACACCATTGTTTTCTGGAAGAAACTTCTTTGTTCAATTAGTAAAGGTCTGAGAGCAAATGAAGACATTCTAAAATTTTCTCCACTTTAGTAATGAGGCGGCTAAAGCTAACCATGGAATGATTTTTTGATCCAAACAGTCACATGGGTCACATTTCATTAACTAAGAAAATTTGAATTACAATCAGTTTCAATAAAAGTCTTAAGCTCAGGAGGTGGATACCCAACCCATCCCTGGGGAAGGGAGCTGTGCATCGTAGCGGATGCCACCCGATGAGCTGCCTTTAAATTGGCTCTAGGCTTGTGTAAAAAAGTAATATTGTGAAGTCTAGCCATGTACTTAATATCTTCCATCACTGTGTTGATTTCCCCTGAGGGGACGTTCTCCGTAGCGCTCAATTTGATCGCATTAAGGCAGTCGCTCAAGATTGTTGCATTCCTTACTGAACAAGCGTCTACCATGAGACAGGCTTGCCAAATAGCAACTGCTTCAACAACCAGACTTGAGTTAGCAAAAAAAGCTTTTGAGGTTTCATCCATCAGGCCTCCCTTAGGATTGAACATGAGCACTACACTTGCAGCTACCTTGGTTCCTTAAAAGCTCCATCACAACAGATTAGGATCCCCGAACTCTGTTGTTGCACCATCTCCACATTACTCATTGGAATCATCTGCTTCTCTGCACAGTACATATCTTCCAAGATGAGAGATTCAGCTCATGATTTTTTCTCTTTTAGAACTGTTGAATATGCATTTGGGGGCACATCATTGAAAATTTTCTGGTTCCTTTATTTCCATATAAACCATCCCATTGTTGCTATCCTTCCCAGTACCTCATTTCTCCTTTGAGGCTCATTAGTTGCTTCCAGAACCTGGGAGGTACATTGGGCAATTAACATAAACCCCACCTGTTTCACCTTAATAGCCACATCCATACCAAACCACACTCCTCTAGTCCATTCACATTCAAAAAGGAGGTGTTCAACAGACTCAGGGGCACGCATACAAATTTTACATTCTGGAGAAGGAGCACACTTTCTCTTGTAGAGTTTTTCTTAGGTTGCTAGGATGTTGTGGCATGCTTTCCACCAGAAATATTTCACCTTAGACACTGCCTGCACGGTCCATATTGTCTGCCACATCTTTAGATGAGGGGAGAAGGAGGAGCTTGTTTCTTTTGGGCATGTGTCTCTGGTAATCCCTAGCTTGTACCCTGATTTCACCTTGTATTCCCCCTTCTGATCTGGCCACCAAAACCTTGTATCCTTACCACCTTTTGCTGGGATTGAGATAAACTGAATGACCCTTAACTCATCTCTTGAAACTTTGCCCAGGAGTGACTGGGAATCCCATTCTAATGACTTTTCTTTTATAGCATCAGCAACCTGGGTAATCAGACTGTCTTGTGGTCTTAGAGACTGTACTTTATGTTCTACTAACTAGGGGATCCATTTGTCATCCCAGAAATTTACTTCCTTCCCATCCCTTATTTGCCANGCCACCAAAACCTTGTATCCTTATCACCTTTTGCTGGGATTGAGATAAACTGAATGACCCTTAACTCATCTCTTGAAACTTTGCCCAGGAGTGACTGGGAATCCCATTCTAATGACTTTTCTTTTATAGCATCAGCAACCTGGGTAATCAGACTGTCTTGTGGTCTTAGAGACTGTACTTTATGTTCTACTAACTAGGGGATCCATTTGTCATCCCAGAAATTTACTTCCTTCCCATCCCTTATTTGCCACATCAAGCCTTTATCAAGGAGTTCTCTTCCATGCAAGAGGCTACACCAAATCCAAGATGGTCTGGCCCCTCGCTTAGCTTTTAGAAAATCGTCATTGGGGAAGCAAATGGACTTGATGAACCTTGCCCAGAGTGCATTTGGTTGGCTAATGAGTCTCCAATCTTGTTTCGCCAATAACGCTTGATTGAACATATTAAATTCTTTAAATCCCAATCCTCCAACATCTTTCGGTTCCACCATCATCTCCCAACTTTTCCAACTGATTCCCTTGCTTCCTTCCCCATTTTTCCACCAGAAATTCCTAATATGTCCATTAAGTTGATGGCAGAAGCTTTTTGGGAGCTCCACCATTGACATAATGTAATTAGGAATGGCTTGAATCGCCGCTTTGATTAGCATCTCTTTTCCTGCTTGGGATAGCAGGGTACTTCGCCATCCTTGGAGTTTTTTCACTACCCTCTCAAGGATGTAGCCAAAGATCTCCTTCCTCGAGCTGTTCCACCCAGTAGGAATCCCCAAATACTTTGCATTGTGTGGGAGGCATTGCATACCCAGCAGACTACATATAGATATTTTTTTGTTTTGATACAGCATTGGACGAGAATATGATACCTAATTTCTGATGGTTGGTACTCTGACCTGATGCATCACAGAATCTCTTAAGAATTCTGATAAGCTCCAGCAACTCCTCTTCCTTTGCCTTGATAAAGAACAATGAGTCATCAGTGAAGAACAGGTGGAAAATAGCCGGGCTCCTCCTCTT